CCTGGTCCACATGGCGTCTTTACACCTTTTCATGTACTTAGCCCGTTTACGTAGATCACGAAGCTCACGATGTGGTTCCTTCTCTGGTAGGATAGTGGTACCGATGAACTGCATACTGTTAGGTGTGATCAAAGGTAATTGAACATCATCCTCCACGTAACCTAGTGGGCGGTTGTTTAAGGTCACTTCCACATCCAGGAGTACATCTTCAAGTTCCCCCCATCTGAGGCGACCATTTCCAATCGTTTTGTTAAGGGAACGCTTCACCAGGCCAACTAACCGCTCAAACTGACCGCCCCACCATGGGGCGCGGCTCAAATTGAATTGCCACTGGATGTTCTCAGTCGACAGGTAATGGTGAAACTGCTCATCTTGCTGGACTTGTTTTAGCCAGCTTGCTGCGGCAACAAACGTTTTTGCGTTGTCCGAATAAATCTTCTCCGGCCTTCCTTTCCTGGCTATTAGGCGCTTTAGACTTCTTAGAAACTCGCTAGTCTCCATGCTCTTGCTGAGTTCCAAATAGAGTGCTCGCGTAAGGCTGCAAGCGTAAAGGATTATGTATGCCTTTCCTTCCTTCTTCTGGGTCACACGGTACTTGATGGGTCCCGCGAAGTCAACTCCGACAACTTGAAAGGCGCGATTTCCTTCGGTTCTGTCTCGTGGTAAATTTCCAGGTGGTGGTCTAGCAGCGGCCCTAACTTGGAAACGGCGACAACCATAACACTGCTTAATCACTTTTTTGGTCAGACGCCTGAGCCTCGGCACCCAATAACGCTCTCTGGTGCGCGCCATTGTCAAACCGACTCCCCCATGCAAAGTACGACGATGGGCTTCTTCAACGAGTTTCACTGTGTAGGGGGTGCATGTCAGGCAGATAGACTGGGTAGTGTCCTGAACTCGACCTCGACAGACGAGAATCCCCTGCTCATTCTCTTTTAACCCCAGCCTTTGCCGGTCTTCTGTCACTTCATCACCTTGAATCTCTTGAGCGCGCTTGGTCCAGAACAGATGTTGTTCATTAATCTCGTAGGTTGTCAGCGGACCCGCCATTCTTTCTTGTTTCTTTAGGCGTGAATTTCGCATGAATCTCGCGGCCCAGGCGACAATTCTTAACGTCTTTATCAGGCTAAACTTTCCCAGTAGATCATCAAGGCAGTCAGTTGATGCAGTGGCTCCATTAAAAAGTTCTTTGGTAACTTTAGCCTCTGTTTGGCTCTCAGGAGTAGCGCTTGTCACGATGTCTGTAGGCCACCTGTCTTTGTCTGAAAGCCACTCCGGTCCTTGCCACCACAGCTTGCTGTCATCGACTTGCCCTCCTCGACTTCCCAGGTCTGCCGGATTTTCCTTGGTGGGCACATGGCGCCAATAGATCTCTGAATGCCCTTGTATTTTCATCACTCTATTTGCTACGAACTGTTTGTACTCGCCACCACCCTTTATCCAATGGAGAGCCACTGAGCTGTCCAGCCATCCATAGCACTGTTTCACGGGAAAACCCTGGAGCGCTCTTCCTACATTTGTGATAAGATTTGCTGCCATATGCGCCGACACCAGCTCTAATCGCGGAATGGTGAGCCCCTGCTTCGCTAGTCGAGCTTTTGCAGTAACCAATCCCTGGCTCACACCCGATGGCTGTCTCACAACTGCATGCACTGTTGCACACACTCCGTTCTTACTTGCATCCCCGAAGGCGTGAAGCTCGATTTCTTCAATCTGCTCTTGCGCACACGTTAAGGCCCTTGCTACCATGACCTCGGCTGGTAACTCCTTCTTCCATCGTGTCCACCGATTTGCTAGCTGTGGGGTAGCGGCGCATCCCAGGCCACTTTCACGTTGCATACATCTCTGTAGATGAACTTTCCCTTGATAGTTAAAGGCGCCGCAAGACCAAGGGGATCGTAGATTTTTTGCTAGATTACGCAACAATGCTCTTTTGGACGCGACTACCTCATTTTGAGGCAAAACGACACTGATCTGGTCTTCCTGTTTGTCCCACGGGAGTCCAAGCAAACCACCGGTCTTTGCTTTTGATTGGCCGAGCTGCTGTTTGGCAAACGTGCCCTCATCTTCGACTCTTCTTTCACTCCCTTCTAACTCGGCAACATTCGAGTGCCACTTGTGCAGTGTGAATTTAGCGTCCGCGAAGATTTTAATAGCTCCCTCTTTCAGCTGTTGCGCTTCGGGTACTGTTGGTTTCCCGCTGATCAGATCGTCTACATACAGGCTTTTGCGCAGTTCAGCAACAAGTTGTGGCATGTGAGTTTCCCAGGTTTCAAGATGACACTCTATCACTCCCCCGAGGAGAAAGGGAGAAGGCACAAGACCAAACAGCGCTCGAGTAAATCTCAACACTTCTACTTCAGAATGTTCGCTGGTCTTCCAATGAAACCTGAGTGCATCTCTCTCTTCCTCTTTGATGCGCACCTGGAGAAAGGCCTGTTGCAGGTCCCCAGTGATAAGGACTGGATGGAAACGCATGCGTACTAAAACACTCCACAGGTGATTTTGAAGCGGCGGCCCGGCATACAGACAATCATTTAAGCTTGGAACTTGGGGTTTCGCACTAGATGAGGCGTCATAAACGATCCTCAACTTTGTAGTTTCAGCTCCCATACGAATCACCGCCTTGTGGGGAATGTAGAATTCTTTTCCTGCGGCGGATCACTTGCAACTTCTACTATTCCCTCGGACTTCTGTTTTCCGATGATCTCTGCATAAGTCTCGGTCACATCCAAGCGTCGAAGTCTGTTGTGGAGGTTGCTGAGCCTTCGCAAACTGACTTCTTTATTGTTCGGTAAAGGCGGGTGGTTACCTTTCCATGGCAGCGAGGCTTCATACCAGCCTTCGGGATGCCGTACCAATTGCTCTCGGAACTCTGCGTAGACTGCGCGCTGATCATGTTCAGGGGTATCTTCAAGCCCTAGAACGTCTAACCGACATAGTTCTGCATAGTCCACGTGACTCGTTTGGGTCAGCAGCATATTCCCGTGGTCAATCTCAGTTCCCGGTGACATAATAGTCCACCCCAGCTTAGTCTTCTCTGCCACTGGTTCCCCTGGCAGTCCAACGCGCGGCCGTTCGGACGTCTTGATCGCTGCATACTCGCTCGCCCCTAATATCAGATGTACTGGAAGATGTGGCTTAGGGTCGCAGTCCGTCATCTCAACTCCCTTTAGATGATCGTACGAATTGATAATCTTTTGATAGTGTGGGTTATCGATCATCAGCAATTCCCGTCTTTCCACCTTGGTAACATCAACGTTTAATTCTTCACTGCCATCCGTTGAGCGTACTTTGATTGTGGAAAGTTCTACTTCACGTGTGGTCGATCCCAGCATCATTTCTATTCGACGAACCTCCTTTGCACGAGGGCGCTTGGGAAGTTTCTCTAACAGCGCGGCCGAAGCATATGAACTCCCAGCTCCTGTATCTAGAAGTGCACGACACAGTACTCCCTCCACGCTTACTTTCACAACAGGATAAACTACACGCCCTTTGTTCCCGGTGGCAGTCATTAATTGGTCTCCTTGGTTGCAAATCGATGTATGATGTTTCTGTCCGCACTTCTGGCATCGCATTTTACTCTTGCATTCGGCAGCATGGTGTTTCGGCCCAGTACAATTAAAGCACATTCGTTTCCGCGCGAGCATTCTCTTCCTCTCGTCCATCGTGGACACGCGCGTGCAATCCCGCGAGATGTGATTGGCGTCATCACAGTAAACACAAAGGCGCTGGTTTCTATTTTCTGCATGGTACAGGGGAGATTTTTTCTCAGGGCGCTTGGGGAGCGTAGACTTGTTTGCGACGTTATTTTCTTCAGTCGCTGGGTTTACATCTCTCCATTTCTTCAGGGCCTGGGTCAAACGAGGTAGATCCCAGTCTTGCCAGTTTTCTTGTCCCCTGACCAGATCGGCTTTAATTCCTTTCAATTTGTCTAGCACGCTTCTTGTCATCCCGTTTACTCTCTCGATTTTTCCAAGTGTTTCCAGTGACTGGACGTTAAATAGCAGGGTTTTATAGAAAGAATTCACTCGGTTCGGGTCGGCGTTCGTCACGGTGGGGAGTTCCAGAATGTTATTGACGTAGGCGTTGACAATTTCACTCGTTTTCCCATACTCTTCCTTTATTATGTTTTTCGCTCTTTCATATCCTTCTGTATTTAGCGGCAAGCCATCGATATCCGCCCTGACTTTGGGCTCCACTAGCTCTTTCAAGTAGGCGAATTTTGTCACAGGCGCTAATTCCGTTTTGTCGATTTCGGCCTCGAATTTATTCCAGAACGGCGGCCAATTTGCAAGTGTTCCGTCGAATTTTGTGATAGAAAGCTTTGGCAGCTTTGCAGTCACGGTTTTCTTTGCATTTTGTTCTTGCTGACTGGCTTCTACGGCCTTTTGAAATCTCACTTGTTGATCTAACAGCTCACGCTCATGGCTCATTCGCTCCTCGTGTTTCATCTTCGCGAGGGCCATTTCCTTTTTATCAGATTCCATCTTGTCTGCCAGTCGCTTGTCTTCTTCCATTTTCCCCACTAGTTGTCTTATTGCCAAGGCCTTTTCATCCGCTTCCTTTAGAAATTTGTCGTGCTCTTTCACCCAAGTGCTGACCTCCTCCTCTGATTCACCATTTGTAAATTTCAGCTCGATAATGGATTCTTTCACGGTATGAGCGGACTGCAATTTAGACATTAATAGTGCCTCGTGTCTCGATATAGCTTCTGCGTTTTGGGAAGCGATCACTTCATCATTCTTAGTCAGAGAGAATCTTAGAGACAGAATCTTTCCGTTAAATTCTTTCGTAAGTTCCTCCATCGCGTTGGCCCTTTTCAGCTTTAGCGTTGTTTTGGCCGATTTGCCAAATCTCAGCGAATCCCTTGATCACGTCGCTATGTACTTGATTTTCCGCAAATCCCTTGCTCTTGTTTGAGCTAAAATCCCAATAGGTCCCGTCGGAGGTGCCAATTGTGTTAGGAATTGCCTCCAAAGCTGAACGATCTTCTAACACACTCACAGAAATCCCGATTCACTCGTTTTATTTCTTTCTTCCCGTCTCCTCTTGATTCTCACAGTACATTACATTCTCTCTTTTCTATTGTTCTTTTTCCTTTCAGTTCCAAAGTTCAATGCTATCAGGTTCCAACGTCACTTAACACTTCTTTTAAATCACGTTACTTAATCAAATGAAACTTAAACTCATGTTTACAAAGATAATGGTAATAAAACACCGCACAATTTCCGACACTTGTAATAGTGAATATCAATCTTTCCAATATTTGCTATCTCTGCAGCTGTGGTGGAACACCTCGGTATTGGAGAATCTGGATGCGTGGCCGGAGTAACAGCAGCTATTATCCCCATACCATGAAAAGTGTTCTGTCCGTCCAACGTACAGACATTGTGGTCTACATTATCTGCTACATATTGTACAAAGTGACCAGGGGTTAAACCAGGAATATCTGTGCCTTTTGTTTGCGCTGCACTCATTTCAAATTTCTTAACTTCAGTGTAAGAGGAGCAAAACCCATGACTATTCAAGGAATCAATTAAAAATTTGGATCCATAATGGTGGTGCATTTGGACTGCCAGGCCGATTTGAAGAGGAGCTATCAGGACCCTGGGCCGAGCGGCTTGAATAATGGCTTGCCCTATGGAAGCAATCTTTCGCTCTGCACTCTTTTCGTTAAATATTGTTCTCAGAAACAAATACAACGTTTCAGGTAGAAAAGCGCAGTTTTCATCCAAAGACGAAATCTCTCCAGGTAATGGATAAAAACTTTTAGAGATGTCCTTACTTTTGATGTCCGTTTTTATGAGATCAGCAGCTGCCTTAATCACTCTGATTTTATCGGCTTCAGGGTCAGCATCTCTAGAAGCGTCATAAAAATTTTGCAAGATGGTCGAAGCTGTACTCCTAAATGTTACGACATCAGCCTTACCATTGATACTAGCAATAACGATGTTTTCTCCAAAATGCTCTTTAAGTTTTTCTTTCATATACCGTGCGCTGTAAGGTTCTTGGTCGTTGAATTCTGCCATCTTATTCATAAGATCGTTCACAGTTATCTGCTCGTCATCGTTTTCCTTAAGATATTTTGCAACCTCCAAGAATGCCTCTTGCCTAGACTTATCAGTTGGCCTGCCTTTCTTTTGTCGTTTGCTTCCGTTAGTTTGATGAGAAAGCGGTACTTGCTTCCCCGTTCGAAAATTGGTACTGCAAACTTGGTGATAAATTGCACCTGCTGCAATGAGATCTTGGGAAAAAGATATTCTGCCATGCACTTTCTCAGCCCAACCGTCTCTTCGCTCCTCACAAATTCGGTTTAATGTGGTTTGAAAATCTAAGGTTCTAACAGGAAAAACATCATGTCCTCTTTTGTTTCCCGTAAGTTTAGCAGGCTGGCTGCAAAATAAACATCGTTCACCAAAATCAAATGTTGGTTCACTGGAACGCAGGGTACGACTTGCACTAGAGGATGTTTCTTCATCAGCCGTATGTTTCTTTATGTAGGAACGAATAACCTTTACATGACAGTATTTCTGCCTGCATTTTTGATGTACACGCTGTCCTGCAAAAGTTTGGAGTGTGTCGCCACGTAGTTTACTTGCATTGTTGATGCCATCGCTTCCTTTTTGCCTGAGTTCCACTGTTTCGAGGCCATTGGTTGATAATTCCTTGCAAATTACACAATACTCCATCGTGTGATGTTAACCGGACGATAAACCACATCTTTAACCATCTATACTTTACCTTCACACGACATTTTTCACTAAAGTACCACTCTGGACGTCCAACAATGCGTTTCTACCAATACTCGTCTAAATAAATGTCTTGTGAAGCGAAGAACTTTGTTAGTTTGAAGGCCAGAGAATCGTCCAGAGCAGTTGTACGGAGCAAGAATTTTCCAAACCAAACAATCGAGAGTCTTTAGAGTCACTGATACACATATATACTTATTGAGAGAGAACTAATTCAAGGAAAACTGTTGTTTTCCAGTTCTCGAAATAAAATTTCTTCGATGTGATCAAAAAGTTGTTCAAATCTTTACATTTAAACACGTGCACGCATTTTGTTTTCCAATTACGCCTATTGTTTTTAGCTGTTTGCTGTAAAAATTTACGCATATATTTTGAATAAATTGCGCGGCAGCCATTTTGAATTTAGAAAAATAATTCAATCATAAAACTGTAATTTCATCATTTTATCCTTCGAAACGTTTGGTAGACTTTTGACATGTTATTTATAGGCATCGGTAGAATAACTTCCGGCAAAAATAAATTCTGTTGCAATTACTTCAAGGTTCGGTCTTTTTTTCTCGTAGAATGACTAGACTATAAACCCTGACAAGACCAAGGTCTGCGTGTCTGATAACTTCAAGGTAGCTTGTGGAGTTTCTACCCGGAGTTTCCACAAGCAGGATTGCCGAGGGATTATTCAGACCGACGGGCTGTTGTTTACGTTCTTAATTGCGCACTTGCTGGCACCGAAGGCACGCCTTGACAATTGCACGCCTGGACAATTGCATCTACTTCCGTTTTGCGTCAATTATGTAATACCTGACAAATCGGTTCAGTCCCTAGAAGAAGTTGATTTGTCCGTATTCGCGTCGTAAGTTTCCCTTGAAACTGCTGCAATGTAGGCGGAATATTCGCCATTGTCCAATTTATTATGTTACGGCTCGATTTTAGGCAAAATATAGAAGCATTTCAACTGAACCGAGAAGATAAAAATAATCCATATAAGGCAGAATAATTGTTAAGCGAGTTTTTAGCTTCCAAGCAAACTCGCACTCCCCGATCCCCTAGTAACGAGTTTTGATTGTCGGATTCATAAAAAGTGTAAATGCTTTTTTTCTTTGTTTGTTTCAGGGCCTTGACTTACGCGTTGAGCATTTTCACTGCTTTAGCGATCATGGAGAAGGAGGTCACTACCATTATGATGTTACACCTGATGAGGTGCAATACAGTGGCTTCTTCAACCTCGCCGAGAAGATTTATCGAATTGATCGACCGCTGGTTACACATAATGTTGGAAGAGACTGAGATAAAAGATTAATGCATTGCTTTCTTCTTTAGAATGCTTCAGTAAAGATAACGGCTTTTTATTTGCTGAGTCTGATTTCCAAATTCAGGTGCGGATGCTCACTAAGGATAAGTCACGCTTCATTTTCTTCGACAAAAAGGGATATTTTTCATGCTTATATGGCATAGCACGTCGATAAAATCGCACGTGCACAACAGATATAATAAAAAACTGTAAACACGTGCTCTCTTCTAGAGCTATTTTTTCTTGAGGATTCCTAGGCTCATACCCAGCCGCTTCTACAACGCAGTCAGCAGAGGTCGCAAGATGTCATGGGAAGGATGCAAAATTCCCACGACACTGCAAAGAAACTACATGCGTCATGTAGTAACAGTGGGAAAAGCATGGGAACGAGGTAGCACGTTGCCTTAGAAGAGCGTTAACTTGTACCCAAAATTTGAAATGAATATAAGTATATGCAGTTGAAACATAATTATTGAAGGACACAAAAATATTTAAAAAAAATATTTGATTGAACTTAAAGGGATCCGGCTACCAAGAATTTGTGATAATTTCTCAATTACTGACGTTTGTTCTAACGCAAAACCTTTTGAAATAATGAACTGTTTCCATTCGTGGGTTAATAATAGGGGATAACCATACCAGGTCACCATTTTAGTGTGAACGGAAGTTAAGTTATGTTTCAAAGAAGCTTTTCCAAGTTTTTGTTTTATTAAATTCAATTGACTGATTCGTTGTCTCAACAATTGCAACAGAAAATGTCTCCCTTCATATCGTCAAAGTTGATGTGACCCCAGCCTCCTGAGCTGGCATCCACCAAACGCAAACGAGCAAGCTGGCCCACATATTCATGCACGTCCCAGCTTTCACGGCTCATCGTCTCAGTGCAGTTTCCAGTAGCTCTTCTGACTACCTAAAAAACAATATATACAATTGGGCAAGTCAACAAGCGTATTTCAACTACTGTAATTTTCAGTAGTGAAAGTCAAGAATTGCTCGAACCCTGTGTACTTGAGTGCGTTCGTGCTTTGGGATCCCTGTGTCCATTTCTTCTTTCCAGGATCACATGCGCGGAGATCGTGACGTCATATTAGGAAATCATTTTCTACCTGCTAAACTTGTTTAACTGTTGGGTTAAATGTATGTAATGCGCTCTCACCTGATCATTTACAATCAACTCTGCTCTGACGACATCGATGGAACAGCCACCACCAATCAAGAAGTTGATCGAGCCGTTACCAATGATAGCAAATGGTGGGGAAGTTAAATTCCCTTGGGGTCCGTCCAGTATAACATAACCCGCTTTTACTTGAGGACAGGGACGGTCTTCGGCGCCTCCGATCCACCAGTCCCCCTGTTGATTGGCTGGCTGCCCCCTGTTCCGAGCTGTGGGGTTGTCACCGTACGTTGGTTGATTATTGAACGCAGTGCCGGTCAAGTTCCATCCGTCAAGGTTTCCAGTTTCAAAGTCTAAGGGACAGGCAGATTGGGAAGCTATGTGGTAGAAACGAAATCAATTTTTATTTCTTTTTCAAACATTTGAAACGTGACTGAGATTTGACTGCGTACCGCGTGAGTCCTGGTACGCGAATTCGAGCGAGTGGCCAAGAATGAAGTGCCCGTGAGCGAAGCAGTAAACGAAATGTAGTCAACTTGCTCTAAGACGGACACCTTTTGGTTCCGCCAGCCGTCCGTCTAAGAAACGTCCATCTTATAAAGTAGATAATAAACTATAAGGAGTAAAGAAAGGCAGGGACCATTCAAGGTGTCCGTCAGTTAGGGAGGTGTTCGTCTTGTGCACAGAGGTGTCCAGGGAGTTGACTGTAAATTGCGGAAAGAAAAATTCTAGGTTCCGTTTGTGTATACATTACCGTTGGAAATTGACAGTTAGGCTGAAAATCATGATCACCTAATCACCTCCAAATTCTTTAAACTGGAACGTTAAAAAATATAGATTTCTTTTCAGTTTACTGCGAAATCGCTCAAGGACTCGGAGTGTCTAATTTGGTCTAGGAGAAAACTGAAAAAAGAAGCACCAATATCAAATTAAATTAAAATTATATGAGTTATTTCATATACATCTATCACAATATCAAATTAACGGTCCACGCAAATTCTAAAACTATTGTTAAAGTGTAATACTGAGGTTGATTACTACTATACTTAGAAAGGGATTTTTTTGCCCTGCTAGTTGTTCATATGAGCGTACTTACAATGCCCCATCACCAAGTAAAGCAAGGACAGAAATATCACTCGACTTGCGGTCATGTCTGGAGAAAGAGTCCTAAAGATTTAAAAATTATATGCAAGAAAAACAGCTCAGAATAGCTCTCTAAAACATAAATTACATAAATCTATTTGCAAAAGACCAAGCAGGTCTTAATAATAAAAACTTACTCCGCCTTACTTTACTATCACCCTGTTTCGATTCACTGACAATGCAGTGCCTCGTCCTCGCTTTTTTTGACCAAAAAGAAAAAAAGTCAGTCATTTCGATATCTGAAAACGACCACTGCGTTAATACGCCCAGATTTTTGTTGCCCTTCTGGGTTACTCATTGAAGAAAGGCAATACAATCACAGGCAGACCACCCTCTGTTAGTGGGGGCCGTTGTTGATTGAAATCTGAGCAACGATCTTTTGTTATTTATAGAGGAAATACATATGAACAATACGGTGGCTGTAATTTGTTCCAAAATGCAGAATTCAAAGCAAATTTTTCAATAAACGTTTGAGGAAAATGCTAACTGAGCCATGTGTCATGCTTTTTTCGCCGTGTGGTGCTGTTTTAAGCGCTATTTTGCGAGATGAATATTTGACCTCGGCGGTTAGAACTAACCGCCGAGGTCAAATATTCATCTCGCAAAATAGCGCTTAAAACAGCACCACACGGCGAAAAAAGCATGACACATGGCTCAGTTAGCATTTTCCTCAAACGTCTATTGAAAAATTTGCTTTGAATTCTGCATTTTGGAACAAATTACAGCCACCGTATTGTTCATATGTATTTCTTCTATAAATAACAAACGATCGTTGCTCAGATTTCAATCAACGACGGCCCCCAATAACAGAGGGTGGTCTGCCTGTGATACAATAAGTCGAAGCCGCCTTGATATATAGGGACACTCGTAAGAAAAATGTTCTACTGCAATGCGGCCGCCTTGAACAAAAAAATATTTTCTTATCTAATGAATATTATACCCGAAAAACTCAGTAACTCTCAAAGCTCTCCACTAAAAGGAGCTTTGACTGCATTTTTATTCCTGAGCATTGTTCTAAAGCAATATTGTGTCAAATTTCTGACTTAAGAGCGAATGCACAGAAAAATCGAGCAAACCGTGGCCACAGCTCAAAACCTAACCTACCCTCATTTTAAGTCTGTAATAAGGTTTTAATGAGTTTATAACACTGCTGAGGTTTAAATTTCAAAATGCGGCCGAACTTGGGAATTATTTGAGATTTTCGATTTCAACGGTCTGCGGGCCTAAAATTAGCCGCCGAACACGGCAATATAGCCTGGCGACAGAGATGAGCTGACTTTCATAAACGAGCGAATATATTGGCAATCTTCCATTTAAATCTCAAAAAACAGATATCTAACAATTTCTAAACAGCACATTTTTTTAGATTTAGAGAATAAAATATCGACGAACGAGCACAATTTTGAAACGTAATTTGCATAATGCTTATAAATACAACAATTTACCGCTAAAACCAAAATCGAATTTTCTATATGGGGGAATTCTCCAAATCACCCCAAATCCCGCTTACTACCCAATAAGATATAGTACTTCAACATTATCTGAAAGTTAGTCTGGTGTTCTTGCGAACGCTTGTAAAATAGATTGATTATTTTGAGGTTATTTTGCCCCAAACAACCGCTAATTGACCCAAGGGTCTGTTGACACGTGCACGTCACCTTAGTTTTATGCATCGATTTGAGCTCGTTAAAAGGGAGAAACTAACAAGATTCTTTTAATATGTACCTGTTTTACTGAAATACACGCAATCTTCAAAAGGAGAGGCCGTTCAATGGGTAATTTCTGTTCTTGAGATCTTGTAGATTGTACCATGGCGTCTGCGAGTGGACCTGAGTCTAGGTCTGTTTTCTCGTGACTGCGAAATCAGAATAACATCATGAAATAATTCTCGCTCGAACCTTCGTAAATGAATCAGCTTTGCAGTGCCTTACCTGAGATAAAAAGTGGCCCGAATAGGAAAACATTCTAGCGCTATTTGGATCCTTTGCAGCACGTAGTGTATTTGCTAAGCGGCGATGGTATCAATGACTTTTAATTAGTTACTCACCTCCGATTACGTGACCAGGCAATTATCGATTGTCTCCTGCGAAAAAAGAAGTGCACGGAAACCAAAGCTTTCGGGATACAGTAAATTCATTTTCCTGTATGACCAGGTGTCCTTTTGCCCTATTTTAAAAGCGATTAACTAAGATGATTAGCAAACATACTGTCCCACTTTTTAAAAATGGTACAGTAACTGAATGTTCTGTTCTTCTGATTTTACCCCAACCCCAGAGTGTTCAGAAGATATATTTGCACTACGCATGAAAGGCAAATGGATTAAATTTTAAGGTTCAAGGCGGTTTTAAGGCATGGGTTACCAGTGGATTAGCCAGACTTGTCATAAGGTGCATTGAACAGAAAATTACAGGCATGATATCTCTGCTATTGTATGTCCATTAAGTGATTTTCCAGCAAACATTATTTTTTGACTTTTTTTTAAAAAAGTTTTTTCCGTGCAATTCTTATCTATGAGATCTAAACTTAGTCAAATTTCTGTAATTTGTTGTTAAATGCAATTCTGCAAACAACTAAGTATTTAATTTTGCGTAAAAGATACATGAAATTGTACTGTTTAGCTGTAAATCATTAAAAAGAGAAAGCATCATGCTTTCTCTTTTCAAGTCTAGTAGGACTTGAGCAATGGCATTGCTTAAGTCCTAGTAGTTGTTCTCCATGCCCGCTAAGGAGGAAATAGTTTGCTCTTTTCAAGAAATTGTTCTTGCCCACTGCGGTTTCAAACCAAGGATAGCAGCAAGTCTGTCGTGGTCATATACTGCTACTTCAGTGCAAACGAAGCATAGGCGCACAAGTCAGCGCTTGCGTTTAGTCAGGTGCCGAAAATGAAGTGGAAACTTAACCCCAAGGGCGTCCATGTTCGCTCCGGTTCGAAAAGGTACAATCAGTTGTGCAGTAAAAAGTAAAGCGAAAAACCTGCGGGAGCTGGGGAAAGAAAGGCGTCTTATTTTTTTTTTTTGCTTGTTCTATTTTCGTGACGTGGTACAGGCTACGAAATACTGACAAGCTCAGTATATGTCTTCACCACCGAGAGTCACTTGCCCTTAGCCGGACACGCCCTCACGTATCATGTTTCGTTCCTAAAGTTATTTTAAAGCACAGAACCAAACCTAATCAGCGGCGGAAGGCAGAAAGGGAGATGAGCAAACGGATGTCACAGCATATTTTGCAAGAAGCTGGTATCCTGGTGCCTATCGGCTCAGGAACGATTGATTACTACTAGAATTAATATCAGGGTAAGAATTTGAGTGCTACAATGGGAGGGAAGGAAGAAAACCGCCGCGCACACTAAACTTTCTCGTCCTGACGGTTTCAAAGAAGGGTGTTGTGGCTGCTATTTAATTTACAGTGTCTGTTGCAGGTGTTGAATTAATCTTACAGTAACTGGAAACGTGGCCACGCCTGCTGAAACTGAGATTGCTTGTAGGATGAACGGCTATAGTATGGTATATTCACGAGCGCGTTTTGTCCAGTGGACTGAGTGGGTAGTTTTTTTCTTAACGAAGGGATGGGGTGGGTCAAGTGTGTAGTTCGGGGAACGTTTGCCCTCTTTAGCAGGGGTGGGGTATATTTGTTGATATCAGGAGTTCTGGCCTGGATAGAGTCGTTGTAAAGCTATTTTTGCTTCGGAGTATCGGTTTACCGGACACTGAGCAAGAAAATGTCAATGGTGCCTTTATGGAATAATAATAGAGATTCTCATGGTCTAACAGTGCGAAGATTAGACTTCTGGTAAGGTGGCAACGATCACGGCCCGCATTATAATTCATGATAATTGAAGGTCATAATGTGGAAAAAGCGACTGAAATGGTGGATGCCATGCAATCCTCTCGGGTGGGGCGGCGTACCTGGCCTTAACAGTTGCCCCTGCGACAGAAGGCAAGCATGCCCAGATTGTCCACGGGTTGCTAAATGAGACCGTCCCTTTCTTAGTACCCGTTCCCCTGTCTTATAATTAGACTCGGGCAAATTTCTCGAGATTGCACCATCATTTTCGGCTTAAAGCTTCCAAAGTCAAACAATAATAGCGCATGTTCGCGACGGTTTTTTTAAGTCAGTCAAGTTCTTAAACCAGGCCTTAAACGGCCAGTTTTAAGTGTCGGTAACAGTTAAAAAGGCATACAAGCCTCACGCAAAAGACAGTGGGAAGAAAGTGCACATCGGTGATGGGGAAAAGGAGTAGCCCACAGTTATTTAGGGGTGGATCTTTCGAAACATTCTTATACTCTTGGACAGATATGCATTGTTTAAAGTTTTAGGCAAACCAGCTGTAAATTTATAGTAACAAACTGTTAAATATACATCAGCAAGATTTTTGCGAATCCTATTTTTCGCTGGAGACTATCGTTTACCGGCTGGTCACGCAATCAAAGGTAACGTACTTTCCCACGTTTGTTTACTCACCTTTCGCTCAGCAATACACTGCGTTCCACAAAGGATCCAAATTGCGCTAGAAATGTTTTGCTATTCGGGCCACTTTTTATCTCAGGTAAGGCACTGCAAAGCTGATTCACTTACGAAGATTCGAGGGAGAATTATTTCTCGATGTTATTCTGATTTCGCAGTCACGGGAAAACAGACCTAGACTCAGGTCCACTCGCAGACGCCATGGTACAATCTACAAGATCTCAAGAACAGAAATTACCCATTGAACGGCCTCTCCTTTTGAAGATTGCGTGTATTTCATTAAAACAGGTACATGTTAAAAGAATCTTGTTAGTTTCTCCCTTTAACGAGCTCAAATCGATGCATAAAACTAAGGTGACGTGCACGTGTCAACTGACCCTTGGGTCAATTAGCGGTTGTTTGGGGCAAAATAACCTCAAAATAATCAATCTATTTTACAAGCGTTCGCAAGAACACCAGACTAACTTTCAGATAATGTTGAAGTACTATATCTTATTGGGTAGTAAGCGGGATTTGGGGTGATTTGGAGAATTCCCCCATATAGAAAATTCGATTTTGGTTTTAGCGGTAAATTGTTGTATTTATAAGCATTATGCAAATTACGTTTCAAAATTGTGCTCGTTCGTCGATATTTTATTCTCTAAATCTAAAAAATGTGCTGTTCAGAAATTGTTAGATATCTGCTTTTTGAGATTTAAGTGGAAGATTGCCAATATATTCGCTCGTTTATGAAAGTCAGCTCATCTCTGTCGCCAGGCTATATTGCCGTGTTCGGCGGCTAATTTTAGGCCCGCAGACCGTTGAAATCGAAAATCTCAAATAATTCCCAAGTTCGGCCGCATTTTGAAATTTAAACCTCAGCAGTGTTATAAACTCATTAAAACCTTATTACAGACTGAAAATGAGGGTAAGTTAGGTTTTGAGCTGTGGCCACGATTTGCCGATTTTGCTCGATTTTTCTGTGCATTCGCTCTTAAGTGGTCTAGTTTGATAGTGCAAACAGTAAATTGTTAACAGTTAAGTCTAAACTACTAGTTTACAAGGAAGGTAGGAAGGTACCCCTAGTCTAGGAAGGTAGGAAGGTACCCCTAGTCTAGGGGTACCTTCCGGCAAGTGCCAACGAGGCGAATTCGTTTATCTTTTGTGGAATGTGCCTATTCAGATCTTCGCGATATTTCTTTCATAATTTTAGAGGTTTAAAATGGATTCCGCAAAAGAAAAGGATGGCACCCACGTTCAAAACAACAACTTTGGCACATTTAAGGCTTTCACTTTTATTAAACAATCACAACAGGGCTTGAACCTTTGTTGGTAGATATGAGCAAGTTAGCACTTGGGTTTCTTGGAAAATTCCATTGTACCAAAACTACAAACGTTAGAAAGTATAGTTTAAATGAGGTCTTTGACTGCTGAAATTAAAAATAATAATTAATTCCGAGCAACAGCGTCATCAGGGATAAGAAAAATATTTCGCATGGTAATATACACCAGAAAAAATTGGTGTAAAGTAAAATGTGTGAAAAGCGCAAGAATGGGGCGGAATGTATCAGAGGTATAAAAATATAAACTTGAATAAAATACGAAGATCTAATGAGCGAGTGTCGCAGGACAAAGGGTCTCTTGAAAGGCATAATGATAGTCTTCAAAACAAAAGGCAGTGAAGGTCCGTAAATTCGTTGCATTCCCCACGGGAGTTTTGGGCTGTCTCAATGTAAATCGAGCAACAAAAAAACATGCTGCTTGACAAAATCTCTCGAAAGACATAAATAAATTATAAAAAAAGGTCCGCAGATACGTTGCATTCTTCACGGGAGGTGCGGACTGGCTCAATGTAAATTGACCTGGGAAGTCAAGAACACGCTGGTTCTGATAAAAGTTTTGAAAATATAAGCCTATGCCTTGATCAACTACCGCTTAAAATTCAATTCACAAAGGAAAAGAGAACACTGAAAAGCCTGGTTCTGAGTCGAGAAGCGAACACGCTACCTCAATGTAAATCGAGCTGCAAAAAACAAGCTGGTTCTGACAAAAATTTGAGCGTAAAACCCTATTCCCTGATCAGCTGCTGCTTTAAACGCAATTTATAAAGCAAACCAGAGCACTAATTGTCCTTTCAAACTACAAATCGTATCAAAGCTTGCTCACCTGTTAGGTCCTCTTGAACAGACAAGGAACAGCTGCACACTGAATCACCCAATTTCGGACCACGAGTTGTAAATACAAGACCGTGACGTCACCACCCAAATATGGGGTCTTACTTACACCCTAGCCTGCGTAGCAGGCGTCGAAAGGGGTAGGGGGTAGGGGATAGGGAGGAAGGGAAAAAGGGGAGGGGGATTGGGGAGAGGGGGAGGGGACGCCTGCTCTAAGAACCCCCTTTTGTTCATATCTGCGGACGCTGGCGTCCGCAAATTCCTGATTGGCTGAGCCGTAATGAGTAACATATTGAAATGCGCGTTTCACAAATCAACAAACAGTCGAGATGGCAGCGGTAGACGTGGATGTCGTAGAGAGTGCTTTGAGAGATGTGAATTTATCTAGTGGTAGAGAAACTGTTTTAAAACCAGAGCAAGAATCAGTAAGGGCTCTTTTAGCCGACAGAGATGTTCTGGCGGTTTTGCGGACCGGATGTTTGTACGCGCGAAGAACTACGAGCTAAATGGTAATGCGGTGATTCTCGTCATTTCGCCACTGAAAAGTATTATCGAAGACCAGTTGCAGGAGATGGAATTGTTGGGCTACCCAGCGAAAGATTTAGCCAATTTATCAAGGTTCTGCAATTATACTGAGCAAATGTTATTTTAGCCGCATGTTTCACACTGAGAGGTCATGACATACATATCGATTGACTGTAGTTATTGTTTTCTGGTCGACAGGATTTGCCCTCTGATGCAAGCGAAATTTCTTTGACCTCTTTTGAAGCGTAAAGCTTTTTTTATTACGGCTGAATAAGTGTTCCAATTTTCTCCAAAGTGCCTTCTGGATGTGAATAACTAAGCGAATTTCTTTAGTCCGTGAGTGTAATGCTTTTCTGCAATGGCTAGTGTAGCGACACTTAATTGACAGTAAGCGTAATCGGATTACTAGAAAATTGGTAGGCGTTATGCAAAAACATAGGCTCTTAGAGCAGGCGCTCCCTTCCCTTTTCCCTTTCTCCCTCCCCCCTCCCCCTCCCCTTTTTGCGCCTGCCACGCAGGCTACTTACACCCATGCAAATATGGTCAAAAATGCAAGTTTTAGGGGGTTACGCAGAACACTTGAGAGTTTTGGCGTACATTGCACGGCGTTATAATTCTGCAGCCAAGGCAACCTCGCTTTTAGCTCGGTTGCCTCGTTGGCAATTAACAAGACAGGAAATACATATATTTCAAAACAGGTAAATGAAACAAGGTATGAATGAAATTAAAATAAAAATTTAATATTTACTAAATATGTCAAATAAAGCACGCAACGCCAACATAAGTATCCTCCTGTATCAAAATGTCCAGTAGCCGACTCTGTAGGTAGCCTGCGTGCAGACGATAACTAAACTCTGATTAGTACCGTCTGCGAAGCAGCGCAAAGATCCTTTTTCTGAACCCCCAACGGACTCAACGAATTACCGGAAGTGCGTTTCGAATTTCCCTTCAACCTGATTGGCGATCACGACAAACAAAACAAAGGCCTTTTTTAACTGGCCAATCGTGGCGCGTACTGAAATCTGGGTACACAGCTGGAAGTCCAGAACAAGGATTTCGGCGCTGTTTCGCAGACGGAGTTAACCAGAGTTTAATTTCGTCTGCGCGCAGGCTACTCTGTAGGGTATTCTTAAGTTTATATTTAGGTAGAGCACGATCACTGTCGGGAATACTGTTCCATATATTCAGCCTGCTCAGCTCACGTACTCATTGGTTTTCCAATATTTCAGTTATGGGCTGATTTTCTCGAAACGTCTCGCATGACCTAAGCTGTCAGAGGCGTAGTCTAAAATGAGGCAAGACACGAAGAAGGTTTATCTCAGATAAGAAAAACTATTTGTCTTAAGAAAACTGAAAGAAAGTTTCTTTGGTTTCGACGCATTGTGCATGAAAGAATTTTACGAAGGCCTAATCCTAATTAATATTGGGACCTTCTACTTATTGGTGTTCCAATATTTCAGTCATGGGCTGCTTTTTCTCGAAACTTCGCACATGACCTTTCCTACCAAAGTCATTGTCCAAAATGAGGCAACACAACGCCTTTAGCTTGAAGAACGTTTCTTTCAAAACATATAAGGTACCGATGCCAAACAATTATACCTGTGCGTCACCGAATCTCAAACATTTTTCCGTACGTTAGCATTTTCACCGATTAATTAATCGTCATATGAAGCGTTTCTTTGGTTTCGACGCATTAAGACTAAATATTCACTGAGGTGAATAATTGTTTTAGTATATACTAAAGCAGTGAGATAATTGAGCACAAAAGTATGATTTTTAACTCATTTACTGTTGCCAACGATTACAATTTTGGCGCGCGATGACCGAACGGCCCCGGTCGTCGCTTTTTCTTGGCGACAAATAAAACTTTTGAAGGCGTTTGTTTAGCTCTTGCGGGGAAGTTTCTTCAAAAGGAGTTGTTAACTCTTTTTGTGTTTAAAATCATTCTGTAAAAAAGATTATTAAATTTAGTTTTAAGCGTATTTACGAACAAGTCAACTAAATAAAGTGACGCAAGACTTAAGCTTAATTTGCATTTGTAAACAAAAAACTTTTTTACCGGTTTTATCGATAAATTCAAGTCAAAAAGACAAAGCTTTACCTGTTAAAACTGCCAAACCGAACTTCGTCACCTTCTTCATGTATTTTGGGAATAGCTTGCTTGATTAGTAGTGAAATTTCTTAGTTTGTTACGAAAGCAAACCGGAAAGGCATTTTGCTCGCAACTTACGCGAGTTTGGCGTCGCTTACTAGGAGGAACTGGCGTTGAATCAGTGAATAGTGCAGGATATTCACTGATTGAGTAGCCAATCAGAGCGCGCGAAAAACACTATTCACTGTTTTAGTACTAAATACTGATATATGTCGTTGTAGAGAGCTTTCTAGGTTCTGGAACATTTTGACTGTTTATTAATAAGTATCAAAGAAGATAAATAACATTTGCTAATGAACTTCTTATCTAAAAGATTAAAGATTAAAAGTGTGTCTTGTTGCACCATGCACGAAATCAGATCATATGCATGATTTCTTAGTTGCATGGTTATTGACCAAGGACAGCCCCCATCTGTACCATCATGTATTTTCAGGTTATTCTTTGTGCATTCTATGACTCTTTAGGAATGTTCTGACTAAGTTAAGAATTTCTTCTTTCGTGTGTTAATATAGGAATGAGGTTTTTGAGCGGGACATCTTGTCTCCGAACTTGACGTCCCTTCCAAGATGCTTATCCTTTAAGTGAACATTTCCACATTTTTATTAATTGACTTTGCCGCCCAAATTTGTTGGTAAAGTTTTCCCTCTATTTATCTTGTTCTCACATTTATTAACATGGGAGTTGTCCTTCGTTTGTCATTAACAAAGTTTGCACTTTTGGTTTTTTAGCTTTGAAGAACCAAGTAACTTAAAAGTAGCTGCGTAAAAGTCTGTTCCTTTTACCGAACTTTGCTTAGTTAGTTTCTTTTACCGGTTATTCTCCTTTAGAACCAAAGAAAGACTCTTAAAAGGAATTTTGCGTAACAAGTTAATATATGTTAATGACAAAATAAATATATTATCAACGGAAAGATATGGTCAACGACCAACAAACAAATAAATAGCGAGATGCGAACGAGTAGATTTTAGAGAGAAAGAAAGTAAGGTGCAGAGCACACAAGATTAGTTGAAGAAAGACGTTGTTAGAAAGAAGTTGTTGAGGAAGTTGTGAAGAACTGTGAAGTGCAAGAGTAAGTCTCCTTATAATAAAAAGTTTAATCTTAAGACTTGTTTGGTTGTGAGAGTCACTCTCGCTAGAGGAACTAGTACCCGTATCAATGCTATAATTATCATTGAGACCTCTTGCTAGACTCAGGTACTCATTGGTGTTTTAATATCGAGAAATCTGGCATTACCTCAGCTCTGGGCAAAGTCATTGTGCAAAATGAGGCAAGACAACGCCTTCGTCTCGATTTATTTCAGAGTAGACAAAATTATTTGTCTTAAGAAAAGTTAAGATTAAAACATGGAAGGTATCGAAAACAGACACTTGTAAATTCGCAAATATCTTTCAATATTCTGTTAGTAGAATTCAAACCTCTCCTGTTGAAAAAATAGCTGAAATTTGAGGCTAATTATTTACTATCTTATTAAACATGGGGGTAAAATTCCATGTCCAAGAAGAAGCGAACTAAGTTATGGCCCGATCAGATTTCGAAAAAACGTATATTTGGTACAAGGCAGTGGAGGATTCGTATCTCCGTCTGTATGTATCTAAAAAGAAATTCAGCTGTTATGGCAACCAAATACAGTCCAACCACAAATTGAGATTTAAATTGTTATTACTGTTAGAGATTCCAATTATTATTATTTTGTTCAAGTTCACGTTTATTAAAAACACTTTGCACACATGCCATAATTAATCCTTGCCCGCAAATTAGCCTATACCTAATCGAGGAAGGAAGGAAAAGTAAAAAAAGTTACAATAATAGGGTTGAAACATAGCAATAAAGTTAAACAGATACACGAACATCAACATATTAAACTAAGGGTACCTTCCGGCAAGTGCCAACGAGGCGAATTCGTTTATCTTTTGTGGAATGTGCCTATTCAGATCTTCGCGATTTTTTTTCATAATTTTAGAGGTTTAAAATGGATTCCGCGAAAGAAAAGGATGGCACCCAAGTTCAAAACAACAACTTTGGCACATTTAAGGCTTTCACTTTTATTAAACAATAACAACATGGCTTGAAGCTTTGTTGGTAGATATGAGCAAATTAGCACTTATGTTTCTTGGAAAATTCCATTCTAGCAAAACTATAAACGTTAAAAAGTATAGTTTAAATGAGGTCTTTGTCTGCTGAAATTAAAAATGATAATTAAGTTCCGAGCAACAGCGTCATCAGGGATAAGAACATTATTTCGCGGGGTAATACACACCAGAAAAAATTGGTGTCAAGTAAAATGTGTGAAAAGCGCAAGAATGGGGCGGAATGTATCAGAGGTATAAAAATGTAAACTTGAATAAAATACAAAGATTTAATGAGCGAGTGTCACAGGACAAAGAGTCTCTTGAAAACAAAAGGTCCGCAAATTCGTTGCATTCCCCACGGGAGATTTGGGCTGTCTCAATGTAAATCGAGCAGCAAAAAAACATGCTGCTTGACAAAATCTCTCGAAAGACATAAATAAATTTTAAAAAAAAGGTCCGCAAACGCGTTGCATTCCTCACGGGAGGTGCGGACTGGCTCAGTGTAAATTGACCTGGGAAGAACACGTTGGTTCTGATAAAAGTTTTGAGAATATAAGCCTATGCCTTGATCAATTACCGCTTAAAATTCAATTCACAAAGGAAAAGGGAAAGCTGAAAACCTGGTTCTGAGTCGAGCAGCGAACACGCTACCTCAATGTAAATCGAGCTGCAAAAAACAAGCTGGTTCTGACAAAAATTTGAGCGTAAAACCCTATTCCTTGATTAGCTGCTGCTTTAAAGGCAATTTATAAAGCAAACCAGAGCACTAATTGCCCTTTCAAACTAGAAATCGTATTAAAGCTTGCTCACCTGTTAGGTCCTCTTGAACAGACAAGGAACAGCTGCACACTGAATCACCCAATTTCGGACCACGAGTTGTAAATACAAGACCGTGACGTCACCACCCAAATATGGGGTCTTATTTACACCCAAATATGGTCAAAAATGCAAATTTTAGAGGGTTACGCAGAATTTGAGAGTTTTGGCCTACATTGCGCGGCGTTATAATTCTGCCGCCGAGGCAACCTCGCTTCTTAGCTCGGTTGCCTCGTTGGCAACTATGACTGAAATTCACTTTTCACTTACGTGCACTCAGCTGAATGTAGACTAATAATACGGTATAACATCTGCTATCTGCGCTTAATTGTGACTGTTGTGATAAGTGGAAGAACTTACCCTCAGTGCTTCGGTTTAATTTCCACTCTAGGAGATATGATGAAGCACACTGATCAATGCAGCCAAATCAGCTGAAACAAAGTTCTATTGTATCAGCTGGCGTGGGAAGATTCCAAGAATCATTGTGGGTATTGTTGAACAAACAACTTCTATGCACAGCTGAAGTATAAGGCAGACTATCTAACCCTAATTATCACAGAGAATTCATAAAAGAGTAATAGATTCAGTCTCTACCGCCATCTAACACACTCTGCTACCTTCAGCGCGCGATTCTCTTAATAAAGGGGGTGATCTTTGAACCACAAAGGACAGTCAAGTTATTGTAGTAAATACTGGTATTTTTGTAGAATCGAGGTAATTTAAAGACAAAATATTTAGTGCGTTCTGCTTATTATTTGGATGTTACATTCTTAAATTGGGATCTCAATTTCAGATTAACATATTGACGCCATCATCTGTTAACTTACGTTGGTATTTTTGGCACAGAAAGTCTTTTGGAAAATCCGGTTTTCACATGAACTCGTACCTCCAATAACCGTCTAGATCTTTATCAACTTTGAAGAAACTCTATGAGAGATGTCCAGATATTTTGGGGTGAGTTTTGAGGGCTATAAATACGGAAAGAACTGAACTGAAGAAAGAAGCGCTCTGTAGATGCAATTAAACCTAATACCAATTTTATTCTGCCATAATAGTCGATTTCCGAGTTGTCTATAGCCTCTGTTTCAAAGTGAGGCAAAGTGCAAACCCATTGATGTGAACATGATTTCTTATAATTTCTCATGCAAATAAAACTCATTTTCACAACGACGTTTTTTCGCTTAGCTTCGTTCTCAAAGTGAGCTTTTGAAGCTCTGAAATGGTTTATTCGTGGTCAGCTTTCACAAGCCATCGTCGGAGCATCTTCTAAAGAGTAGTGTAGGAGCTGCTCGGATAGTCTCTCCGAATTCGTCGCAGCATCTCATTCTTCCAACTGTTGTTGTTTGGGGTAAGGGAGACGCAGTCCTTCTAAACCCTGACAAGACCAAGGTCTGCGTGTCTGATATGTTCAAGGTAGCTTGTGGAGTTTCCACAAGCAGCATTGCCGAGGGATTATTCAGACCGCCGCGCTATTGTTAACTTTCTTACTTGCGCACTTGCTGGCACCGAAGGTACGCCTTAATAACGGACAATTGCATCTACTTCCGTTTTGCGTCAGTTATGTGATATGTGACAAATCGGTTTAATGCCTAGAAGAAGTTAATTTGCCCGTATTCACGTCGTAAGTTTCCCTTGAAACTGTTACGATGTAGGCGGAATATTCGCCATTGTCCAATTTATTATGTTACGGCTCGATTTTAGGCAAAATATAGAAGCATTTCAACTGAACCGAGAAGATAAAAATAATCCATATAAGGCAGAATATATTTAATAAGCCGGTTTTTAGCTTCCAAGCAAACTCCCACTCCCCGATCCCCTAGTAACGAGTTTCGATCATCGGATTCATAAAAAATGTAAATGATTTTTTTGTTTGTTTGTTTCAGGGCCTTGACTTACGCGTTGAGCATTTTCACTGCTTTAGCGATCATGGAGAAGGAGGTCACTACCATTATGACGTTACACCTGATGAGGTGCAATACAGTGGCTTCTGCAACCTCGCCGAGAAGATTTAGCGAATTGATCGACCGCTGGTTACACATAATGTTGGAGGAGACTGAGATAAAAGATTAATCAATTGCTTTCTTCTTTAGAATGCCTCAGTAGAGACAACGGCTTTTTATTTGCTGAGTCTGATTTCCAAATAGTCCACTTTACAGTTACAGGTGGAAACGAGGCTGGAGTTGACCTTGTTTTGATACAACCCTTCGTGCTTTGTTATGTAAATCATGTCATTCTTATCCTAACTAGTATTTTTTAAGCATAATTTCCATAAGAAAAGGAAAGAGGTTTGTATCAAAACGAGGTCAATCTCAGCCTCTCATTCATTCAAGGGCTAGGATAACTGTAAATGGTCTATTCAGGTGCGGATGCTCACTAAGGATACTGGGATTTATTTTCTCTAGAAAGAAATGATAGATAGACAGATACAATAACAGATAAAAATAACACCTCTACACTCCACATTTAAGTGCTCTTTACACCGGACGGGTCCTGTTTTTGTGTTTACAGTTTCTTTAGAAACTGAAACACTATACACTATGCAGTGTCCGTTATGTCCGTAAGTAAGAAAAAGCGATAATTCTGAAGGCCAGATCAGACAAAATACTGTAAGATACAGTTCGCAAACAAGGACAGTCTCAGTATTACGCTCTAGTCGTTGCTTTTCATTATATTAATTTATTTTTTTTTCCAGTCGAAAGAGATTTTGCTAAAAAGGGGTAACTGTGGGTGTTCTGTGCATTATTGGGTGACCTGTGCAATTAATAAGGGAGGTTTTTTTGAGATTGCATTTTCGTTCGTCGTCGACACACATTTGCCTCGCTTTGAGGCGCCTGCTTAAGTTTTGTCTCGCTTTGACGCGCTAAATCATGTGGTGATTGTTGTGTCCTCGGCGTTCATCTTTCAAAGGTTTGCTAAGGTCTGATATTCTTCGTAAAACTTTCATCTTTTAAAAAGTTTGCTGAATCTTCGTAAAGCGTACATCGATCTGTGATTGCTCAATCGTCCAAAGCGTTCATCTTTCAGGAGTTTGCTGTTAAATTTTCACTTTGGATTAAGCCTTCATATTTTTCAGCATGGTTCGTCACTGTCTTTGGAAAATGTCTGCGACTACTGGTGCATGCATCAAACCGGGTTTAGTTCGGCGGCCGTTATGGCACATAGTAAATTTACCGAGTTGTGTAGCTCGGCGGCCGTTTTGTCACATAGTAAATTTACGAGTTGTGTAGCTCGGCAGCCGTTGTGCCACAAAGTAAATCTACCGAGATGTGAAGCTCGGCGGCGCCATTTGACCATGACTTGTGATATTTTCGGCCCCGGACAAACCAACACTTTAACTCTATGTTATTTATTAGGAAAAACTTATAAATCAGCCCACAGTAGCGCCACTCTCGAGTCACTGAAATCAACACGCTCGACCAATTACTGGAAAAGTTATTGACGTGAGCCGCACACACGTTCCACTGAAGGTTTTTGATAGGGTTAGTGCGAAGTTTGAATTCAGATGTGAAAGCTTTTAAACCAGTAAATTCAATGTAATTCATTTTGTCAACAAGTTGATGATTGGATGCTGTTAAAAATAACAGAGGAAATTATCAGAAGAAATGTTTTTGAGAAACTGCGCCCTGTAACTCGCGCCAGTAAAAAAAAATGTTCCATTTACACGTCCGACGCTGTCCAATGTCTCCTCCGATTAAAAGCACTTGACACCGAACCATACGATAAAAAAGTTCTTAAAATGATACACAGTTTAAATAGAGGTTTCGCTGTACGCAACCCTTGCGTTCAAAATATGCCATAATCATGTTTATCTACATCGCAACCACCCTTCTGCCTCAACAAACATATCGAACGCACTCTCCTAAGCTCCGATTACTCCTAGTAAATAACATAGAGTTAAAGTGTTCGTTAGTCTGGTGCCGAAAATATCACAAGTCATGATCAAATGGCGAGCCTCACATCTCGGTAGATTTACTTTGTGGCACAACGGCTACCGAGCTACACAACTCGGTAGATTTACGTTGTGACACAACGGCCGCCGAGCTACACAACTCGATAAATTTACTCAGTGGCCTGACAACGGCTACCGAGCTACACAACTCGGTATATTTACTTTGTGACACAAAGGCAACCGAACTAAACCCGGTTTGATACATGCACCAGTATATAAATCGCACACATTTTCCAAAGACAGTGACGAACCATGCTGAAAGATATGAAGGCTTAATCCAAAGTAAAAGTTAACAGTAAACTTCTGAAAGATGAACGCTTTGGAAGATTCAGCAAACACAGATCGATGTACGCTATACGAAGATTCAGCAAACTTTTTAAAAGATGAACGCTTTACTAAGACAGAATATCAGACCTCAACTGAACGCCGAGGACACACGAAACACCCCGTGAAATACCGCGTCAAAGTGAGACAAAACGTAAGCAAGCACTTCAAAGTGAGGCAAATGTGTGTCGACGACAACGAAAATGCAATCTCAAAAAAACCTCCCTTATTAACTGCACAGGACACCCAATAAGGCACAGAACACCCAACACAAATTAGGGGTTGCGTTCTCGTACCTCGAACGCAATAAGTATACGCAATTGAGGCATAATTATTAAAGGACACAAAAATTTAAAAAAAAAATGTTTGGTTGAACTTAAAGGGGTCCGGCTACCAAGAATTTGTGATAATTTCTCAATTACTGACGTTTGTTCTAACGCAAAACCTATTGAAATAATAAACTGTTTCCATTCGTGGGTTAATAATAGGGGATAACCATACCAGGTCACCATTTTAGTGTGAACGGAAGTTAAGTTATGTTTCAAAGAAGCTTTTCCAAGTTTTTGTTTTATTAAATTCAATTAACTGATCCGTGGTCTCAACAATTGCTACAGTCAATGTCTCCCTTCATATCGTCAAAGTTGATGTGACCCCAGCCTCCTGAGCTGGCATCCACCAAACGCAAACGAGCAAGCTGGCCCACATATTCATGCACGTCCCAGCTTTCACGGCTCATCGTCTCAGTGCATTTTCCAGTGGCTCTTCTGACTACCTGAAAAACAATATAAATGTATACAATTGGGAAAGTCTACAAGCGTATTTCAACTACTGTAATATTTAGTAGTGAAAGTCAAGAATTGCTCGAACCCTGTGTACTTGGGCGCGTTCGTGCTTTGTGATCCCTGGGTCCGTTTGCCATTTTTTCTTTCCAGGATCCCATGTGCGGAGATCTTGACGTCATTTAAGGAAATGTGGCGACATAATAGTCATTTTCTACCGACTAAAATTTTGTATCTGTTGGGTTAAATGTAAGTAATGCGCTCTCACCTGATCATTTACAATCAACTCTGCTCTGACGACATCGATGGAACAGCCCCCACCAATCAAGAAGTTTATCGAGCCGCTACCAATGATAACAAATGGTGGAGAAGTTAAAGTCCCTTGGGGTCCGTCCCCTATAACATAACCCCCTGTTACTTTAGGGCAGGGACGGTCCTCGGAGCCTCCGATCCACCAGTCCCCTTGTTGATTGGCTGGCTGCCCCCTGTTCCGAGCTGTAGGGTTGTCACCGTACGTTGGTTGATTATTGAACGCAGTGCCGGTCAAAGTCCATCCGTCAAGGTTTCCAGTCTCAAAGTCAAAGGGACAAGCAGATTGGAAAGCTATGTGGCAAAAACGAAATCAATTTTTATTTCTTTTTTAAGCATTTTAAACGAGACTTGGATATGATTGCGTACCACAGGAGTGCTGGTACGCGAATTCGAGCGAGTGGCCAAGAATGAAGTGCCTGTGAGCGAGTAGCCTGCGTGGCCGGCGTTGAAAGGGGAAGGGGGAATTTGGGCGCGCGCGAGAGCGTGTGGGGCGTCTCCTTCCCCTTCCCCTTTCAACGCCGGCCACGCAGGCTAGTGAGCGAGGCAACAAACCAAATATAATCAACTCTCTCTAAGACGGACACCTTTTTGGTACCGGCACTTGTCCGTCTTAGAGAAATGTCCATCTTATAAAGTAGATAGTAAGCTATAAGGAATAAAGAAAGGCATGGACCAACTCTAGGTGTCCGTCAGTTAGCGAAGTGTCCGTCTTATAGTCTCATAGAGTTGTCCATTAAGAGGGAGTTGACTGTAAATTACGGAGAGTAGAACTCTAGGTTCCGTTTGTGTATACAGTACTTTTTTGGAAATTGACAGTTACGCCCAAAATCACCTAATCACCTCGAAATTCTAAAACTGGAACGTTAATGAAATATTTCTTTTCAGTTTACTGCGAAATTGCCGACGGACTCGGAGTTTCTAATCTGGCCCAGGAGAAAATTGAAAAAGAAGCATCAATATCAAATTAACGGTGCACGCAAATTCTAGAGTGATTTTACCCTAACCGTGAAACAGATACAAATAGTACAAAATAGCGGGAGGTAAACAAAAGAAGACAATAGTATTAGTGCGTAGTATTTTACAAGTAAAACCACTCTAAAATCATTCTTAAAGTTTAATGCCGAGTTTGATTACTACTACACGTGACTACACTTAGAAAGGGATATTTGGCCTTGCTAGTTGTTCATATAAGCGTACTTACAATACCCCATCGCCAAGTAAAGCAAAGACAGAAATATCACTCGACTTGCGGTCATGTCTGAAGAAAGAGTCCTAAAGATTTAAAAATTAAATGCAAGAATAACAGTTATTTTCTGAACAGCTTTCTAAAACATAAATTACTTAAATCTATTTGCAAACGACCAAGCAAGTCTTAATAAAAACTTACGCCGCCTTACTTTACTATCACCCCGTTTCGCCCGTGCGACCACAGTGCCTCATCCTCGTTCTTTTGGACCAAAAGTAAAAATAGTCAGTCATTTCGATATCTGAGAACCTCGTCAATACGACCATTGCATTAATACGGCCAGATTGTTGTGGCCCTAATCTGGGCTACTCATTGAGGAAAGGCAATCAATGAGTCAACAACAACAAACCTTATTTGCACGACCTTAAGTAATTATAGTATTGCAAAAGGATAGGGTCTAAAAAATACATTTGGAGTAAAAATTAAGTGTGATCATTCTGAAGTGATAGTAAGATATCACGTAAATTAATTAATAATGAGACAAAGTTCATCAGTCGTAAATTAACGTAGCTATCTTTGGAATTCATTAGTTTAATCCCTAGCTAGGTCCGAGCAGGGTATTTGCTTAAAGTTTGTAAAATAACTTTAATTTGTATTTGATGAAAAAATCATTTCTAAGAGTTGAATATTTCGGGCAGTGGAAGAGAAAGGTGAATTTCATCTTCAATTTGGTTTTTTTTGTCCCGGGGAGTTTGGTCATTCGTAAGAAAAAAATTCTACTTGAATGCGGCCGCCTTGAACAAAAAAATCATTTTCTTATTTAATGAATATTATACCCGCAAAAGTCAGTTTCGGTGTCAGTGACTCTCTAAAAGGAGCTTCGACTGCATTTTATTCCTCAGCATTGTTCTAAAACAATATTTTGTCAAATTTCTGACTTCGGGAGCGGTCTAGTTTGATAGGCCAAAGAGTCATTGTTAAGTCTCAATTAAGCCGACTGAAATCCATTTTTCACTTACGTGCACTCAGCTGAATGCAGACAAATGGTACGGTATAAAATCTGTTTTCTGCGGTTAATTGTGACTGTTGTGATAAGTGGAAGAACTTACCCTCAGTGTTTCAGTTTAATTTCCACCCTAGGAGATATAATGTAGCACATTGATCAATGCAGGCAAATTACCTGAAACAAATTTCTATTGTACCAGCTGACGACGGAGGATTCCAAGAATCATTGTGAGTACTTTTGAATAAACAACTGATATGCACAGCTGAAGTATAACGCAGAATATCTAACCCTAATTATTACAGAGAATTCGTAAAAGGGTAATAGATTTAGTCTGTACAGCCACCTAACACACCCGGCTAATTTCAGCGCGAGAGTCTCTTGATAAAAGGGTTCATCTTTGAACCACAAGGGAAAGTCGAGTTTATTGTAGTAATTACTGGTATTTTTGTATAATTGAGGTCATTTAAAGACAAAATATTCAGTGCGATCTGCTTATTATTTGGAAATTACCTTCTTAAACTGGGATCTCGATTGCTAAGCAACATATTGACGCCATTTTTGGCACAGGAAGTGGGGGAAAAAGAGATAAAGTAAGTCAAGCTAAAAATTATCACCTCGTAGTATTTACAATCATAAAATGCAGCCATTTTGTTTTTAGCCATGTCCAGTTTATTACCATGCAAGTACACTTATTTTATTGACAATATTTTACAAGAATCAGTCAATTTGCATGCGTTTCCTTTCTATGGTTTCTAAATTTTTGAACTTTTAAAAACAACTATTCCTCAAACTATATTCAACTCCACAAGTTTTAGCAAGTACCCCTGACCAGCATAAGTTGCTTCACTGGCAAACGTTGCAGTCAATGTCTCCACGCATGTCATCAAAATTGATGTGACCCCAGCTGTCCGAGCTAGAATCCACCAATCGAACAAAACCTTCCTGACCGACAAATTCTTGTGCGTCCCAGCTTTCACGAATCATCGTCTTAGTGCATTTCCCAGTGGCAGTTCTGACCACCTAAGAATACACAAAAAGTTCCATGAGAACATGAGAACTCGAGTGCGATTTTTCCGCGCCAGTTTATGGCGAAGACATTCTATCCTGCTGCCTAAGAAGGGAGGGGATCAGAGGCTGTTCTCGGAGGTACCCCTATAATGGCCTATACAGGGAGGCTCCGCCCTCGAAAGGGGTACCTTTTTCAGAACATGAAATGGTAGGGAAATCTGTCATTCCGGTCTGTAAAAGGGCCAAAAAGGGAAAACTTTTTAGTTTAGTGATTTATTCATGTTTAAATACGGAGCATTTAAAACAGTTAAAAGGGATGCACTGTTCTAAACTATTTTAGAAGGTATACGAAAGGGGTACCTTTCCTGTTAAAAATGGTATATAAGAGGGTAAGGGGTTGGACCTCGGGGCAGAGCCTCCCCGTGTTCAACTTTGTTGAGTGTCCTCCGGGGGAGATCTGGATTTTCAGTAACTCGGGAAATCGAATAGAAAAAGATATCAAAGCCGAAGAAAGGAAAAAGTGTCATATTACGTATAGTTACATTTTCTTTTGTAAAACTTGCCCCCAGCTTTCACCACCCCCAAAAAGTCTGACTTTAGATTTAGCACAGTAAAAAGGCTCTTGCTATGACACTGCTCTTGCTGCCCACCACACAGACTGAGACCTCAGGAATTAGACTGGTGTGACAAATAATTACCCAGCTACATGAATTTTCTATAAAAATTGATATTTACATTGCAATCTTTGGGTCACTGTCGACGATGTTTGTAGCCCTGGGACTAGAGCCATCTCTCCTCGGTCCTCGCCGTTGGACTCGTTTCACAGAACGTCCCTACCGGCGAGGACAGACAGCTTCATTCATGGGCTTTGATGTTTGATATTAAACAAAAGTATCAAGAATAAGTGGACTGTCTTTGTAAGGGTGAAGCACATACAAGCATACCTGGTCATTTATGACCAACTCTGCCCTGACAACATTGATATTACAACCCCCACCAATCAGGAAAGAGATGGATCCGCTGCCAACGATGTTAAAAGCGGGGGAACGTAGAGTACCCTGGGGTCCGTCACCTATCGTTGCTCCTGCTGGAGAATCAGGGGAGGGACGGTTCTCGGAGCCTCCGATCCACCAGTTCCCCTGTTGATTGGCTGGCTGCCCTCTGTTCCGAGCTGTCGGGTTGTCACCGTACGTTGGTTGATTATTAAACGCATTACCGGTCAAAGTCCAGCCACCAAGGTTTCCATTTTCGAAGTCCAAGGGACAAGAGTAACACGCTAAATTTTGCGTAAAACAGAAAGTTAAGTAAATTCATCGTAAAGGTCTTATTTTGCATCCTCGGTTGATCTTAAGAGTTTTGGTATTAAAAGGTTAAGGGTATGCAGGGGCGGATCCAGGATTTTTTTTAGGAGGGGGTGCACTCGTCTCTTGCTCTTCTTGCAAAGCAAGAATGAATTTTTTATTCAAAACCATTTGATTGGTTGTGTAGCGGTCTTTCTACACCTGTTTATGAAGTTTAATGCTTGTTGCTGATATGGGCTTAGGAACTCCACGCCAGCATGGCCTTTTCTAAAAAGTTCAAGACTTGGGAACTCTTCCCGGAAAAAAAACACCTATCAGTCTAAAGGTAAGCGACCACTAAATCTTAGCTAATCTTCGCATTTGGGGCGGTTGCTTACGGGAGGTTCGACTAAATTTTCAATAACTACTTAACTACCCGGGTAAACTAAAATTGCTTTTAAAATGAAACTCGGCACTGAGTTGTTATAAGATCAATGCAACCAGGAGTGAGTAATTCCTTTCGACGGCCTTTAGTCTTCAGAAAAGTACTTACGTTTTGCAATTTTCCACACCAAGAAGAACAGAAAAATCAAGTGAATTGAAGCCATCTTTGAAAAAAAGTCGATTACAGCTTCCACTGAAATTTCCAACGAAGGCATTTTAGATAAGCAGTCTTACAAGGGTTTCCCTTGCTGTATTTAGGTCATAATTACATAATAATGCTACAAAAAACGAATAACAATTGTAAAAAAATGTTTTGGTCTTGTGTTTATTATGCACCAATGTAAAACGCCTAGACCCTATAGTTCGACAGAGGAAGCCAGCCAATACGACCACCCTTTTAACACGACTAGTTTTTATCACCCTTAAAAGTTATGTCAGTACAAACCCGACACACTGAAAAAACAGTTAGCAACAACCTGGAGGAAGCCGTTTGAGGACATTATATTTTTGTAAGTATCTCGAAAACTGCTTTACTGAAATATTGAAGACATAATCACATGTTACTTGCATGAGTACAAAACTTGAAAAAATGGGAAATCGTACCCATACCCTTGCCTCCAGCTCCCGAGTCTCTTTACCCAGAAGACGTAGGATAACTCTTGGCGTATTCAGTATAGCGGACGTTAGGTGTTTTGTACCAGATATTGTATCAGCAGACTCATACGTATCTACCAGTTATTTTTGCAGTCTGTTTATCCTTCTTTGGCAAACAATAAACACAGCTGAGAAGATCACAATTATATTCATCACTAATTAAAAAATCTCTTCTTTTAAATTTTAAAAAACTGGAGGGTAACAATATATTTGAGACTCTTTATGTGGTCGAGAAATGGCTCCTTATATTTGCCTCTGAAGAACTACTGTTTCCTCAGGCGATAAAATTATTATAATGGCTTTCTGACACACGTTGCCTTGTATGCCCGTGCGAAATGTTATTTGTGCTACAAACAAATCCAGCCAAAGGAGAAAAGCTGGGTAAACTAACGTCAAATAAGTGTAAAGAGTGTTAAGTATTACAGACTTTCAGCGACTTCATTAAAATTATAGGGGAAATTTTAATCAAGCTATTGTAGTATTTCAGCTTCTTCAACAATTTCAGCTAGGTTTTACTGATCATGAGGTCCATGTCCTTTCAGGTGCTAAGCGATTAACTCTTTAAACGTAATACAATTAGTTACCCATAGCCCGCGAGAAGGCTTGCCACTTGTGCGAGGTCGCGGGAAACATTTTGGTGGCGAAATTTTCCCCTGACTCACACAAGTGAGTCTGCTCCGCAGGCTAAGTCAACCGCTAGGACTAAAAGACAGTAACGGCGTTACATAGTATAGACCAATTTCGTATGACCTTGAAAAATGGTTTCAGTAAGTGTTCGTTATGGATGAAAAGATCAAAACATAACCTGTTCGTTTTCCCGCCAAAGAAAACCCTAAGATGGAGAAGGCGTTGTATGATTGACCAATCGTGTTGCAATATGACGTTAAAGCAAAGTATCGGTTGATTTCTAGAGAGTTCTCGGGCACGAAGTTTTTTCAACCGAGCGTTCGCTTAACCGACCAAAAGAAAGGCGCGTTTGTATCCGTTCGATAAACCAATAAAATCGCTCTATCTCCGCTCGTTTGTTGTTTCTGTTTTGTTCGCGCGTTTTCATTTCAAGGTCATACGAAAATCGCTCTAAGTAGGGATACCAATGGCACACAATTTACACCCGTACAATTTACTGTCGACAGAAAAAAATTGAAAAAAACGCTCCGTGGGCGGGCAGTAATACCGTATAGAATCGCAACTTTTAGACAAGAGATCATAATAGGGCAGAGAGGGAGTCTCCCAGTCGTGACTTCGGGATGTCTTCGTGTCAAAAGAGTTATTTTTATAACTGTGCGGACCATGTGGAAACGGTTTCCGGTAAACTGGTTACTTCCGGAAGGCTCGCTCTTACGACTCAGCGCGCCAAAGCGAGGCGGGGTCAACAAATGAAAAAAATGGCGGCCTAGCTGGAGGGACGATGTGGAGGGACTTTGATTTGATTCAATTGTCCTACTTCAACGACGAACCTACCATAGAAATTATGATCTCTTGTTATTAAATTATCGTAGCGATCTTTGCAGTCACTTATTGGACTTCAGTTCTTCTGCTCTTTCTTCAAAGTTTTTGAAATCTATCCCATTTCCAAGTAATCTCCAGAACAGGTCAGATCGCTGCACTTTGTTAAGTGATTGTGGCCCAAGTACAGCTCAAACTTATAACCACTGGTACATAGACCCTCCGATCATACTTGAGAGCACTAGTACTGAGTAATCCGATTTAAAACTAGTTTAAGAGCGTCAATTTGCACTTAGTAGTTCTTCTGAAAAAATCCCCATGGTTTCCAAATTTAAAATCTAGTTTAAGAATATTATAATCACTGGTACATAGTCAATTATGCACTGGTACTTATTTTAAGAATATTATACAGCGTCAATTATGCATGGCTTATTCAGTAGCAGCAAAAACATACCGGTACCTGCTCTAGAAAATTTACTATACTTTGGGAAAGGATCAACGCTAAATCCCGATTTAAATATTTTCCTAAAACAATTTATCGAAAGGAAATGGACAGCCTGTTAATGACGGCTTCAATAAGTAAAAGATTTTTTTTAGTCAAATTATAAGGGAGCTGCTGAATCATTTCGCGGGCGTGTGGTTTTTACCAGTCAGAGGAAACTGCAAAGATTACTCGCCTTTGCTAAACTCTTGGTGAAATCTCTCTGATATGGAAGCACAAGAGCATAAGAAATTAGACGAAGAAGACACCACATCTTTATCCCAAGATCCAGCAGGACAGGGTGAGTGCTCTAGAGAGGTTTTAGTTATAAACAATATGGAGTCAGGAAACAAACCATTCGGGGCCGGGTAAGCGTGCATCAACACGTTCCTCGTAGGCTTTTCCCGGCGATTTAATTGGCAGTGTGTGTAGTGTATAGCGAGCAAAGGATTTCACGGGTAAGGGGTTTATCAAGAGTAACTGCACCCTTAAAATTGCCACCAGATATCTCACATCAGCGAAACAAACACACAAAGTGACATTAAATTTAACTTCAAACAACATGGCGTCAAAGAACAAGCCGCTCGAGGATCCACGCACAGCAACCTAGAATGTGTTCAGCGCTCGTGTAAGTGGGGTTTTGCGCGAACTGAAAAATTACAAGCAAAATTTGTTTAGGAAGCAATCAGCACAGTCAGTGAACTTCCTTGAAAAGAATCCTAAAGGCTTCGCCATTCCTGGGTAAATGAAAGGTCCGTCTTTGGTAAAACGGAGCGCATTGCACCAAGGGAAATCGGGAGGAAAACGGGGACTAGAAAACCTGGGGTTTGAGGTTCCATTCCTTGCAATAATTATAGCAAAGAAATCACCTTTAATTCTTATGCTATGTGTTTTCAGGAGGAAAAGCTACTTACACTGTCGAAGATGCGATCGACAAACTTGGTTATGGACCTTTTCAAATGAAACTTATGTTCGTTGTCGGCCTGGCTTGGGTAAGCCTGAAAGTTTTAATGAACTACAGCACATTCCTTCAGAAGAATACGTCTCACCACAATCCCATCATCATCAACTGTTATCAGCAGAAAAAAAGAATAAATAGTCTACACATGCTTTTCTGCATCCACATAAGATATCACGTTCTAGCGTGGGAGTAATGTTTAGGACTAACAAAAACCAAACTGGCGTGTAAGGAAAGCTAGACACTTTGAATCGCCTGAATCGAAAGAGATTTTAAATATCTTTAACTGCTGTTTATTAGTCATTCAAAATATGCTTAAATTCCCTGGGTGCGTTTTCATAACCAGCCATGGTCAGCCTGCGTTGACCAAGTTTGGAAGCTGCTTGCTATTATTTTACGATTGACAGCAACCGTACAATAACATAATAAACAGGGACGCACTGACGACATTCGAAGGGAACTCTTCTCCAGGTCCTCTAGTTCTCTGATATGTCGCCTCGGGAAAAACGAGCAGACCCTGGGTGTTGAAGACTCCTCTCTTGCCATCCACAATATTAAAAAAAAAAAAGTTTTCGAGAGAACCCCAGAAGCAAAGTTGAAAGGCAAAAAAGACATCCTTCTTCAACCTCAGTCTTCTAATTCAAGATCGTTCTCTGATTTCAAGTTTCTAGATGATGAGGTTTTTGAACAACAAAGGACCCTGGGAACCGTGTTGCTGTTTACACTACAATCCAGTCACCTTGAATATGTTCTCCTTAAACAATACAGGTGTTTGCATTGTCACTAATCCAATGGCTACTTTTTAGTTCGCTTTTGGTTTTACGTTTGCATGGTCTCGAAAGCATGATATAATGCCAATAATCATTTTAATGCCATATCTTGTATCAAGAGGGGTTGATCTTTCCTTCTTGTATGTTGTTATTCAGATGGCTGACTCCATGGAAGTGACGATTTTGGCAATTGTATGTCCTGCTATTCGATGTGAATGGCAATTAGAAACATGGCAAGAAGCAACTATAACAACGGTAAGACCTGACTGAAGCCCACAGTAGTATAGTAATCTGAGCATCGGAGGTCTCAGTTCTCTAGCTCAGTCTATCCCAAGCCTGATATTCAGGTTAAGCACGCAGCAAACTAGACCACATTGATAAAACTATTGAATGGAAAAGAACGGTATAAAAGGAAGGGATGGAATGAAAAAACGACAGGATTACTTAAATTATAAAAGCTTTTGGGTGGTGCTTCTATTGGCTGAAGCAAATTTTCAACCAATCAGAAACACTACTACCCCGATCTTGGTAGTGACGCATCATCAGTATGGAATTTCTGTACTTGTTTCTCAGACGTTATTGCTATTTTGCGGGGAAAACAGCAATGGCGACGCGAAATGTCGGCTGTTTCAGTCTCAGGTTACTCCTATTTACTTTAATATCTCAGGCAGTATTCTCAGGGATGACAATAAGTACATGTATTTGGGGATATGTCTCGGACAACTTTGGACGAAAGAAGGTAAATTATCTCTCGATTATGTATCTACTCTGCTTATTAGCGTGTTGATCTTATTTCCCCTTTGATTTACATGTTGAAATTTTGGGTATAGATGGTTTTCACAGTGACGTCATCAAATTCTAAAGTCAAAATAGCGAGGTTTTACGAATTCTTATTTACACTAGGTTGAAGCTAAACAAAAAGTTAATCTTTGTACAAGTTTTCAGTCCCATAGCATGTTTCATTTCGAAAATACAGCAATTTGAACTTCCGAGTTTTCACAGTGCGTGACACCAAAATAGGAACGCTGTCTGGTTGAAAAAAAGTCTCTCCTCTTGATTTTCAGCAGTATAACCATTTCAAGTATTAGAAGATATGTTTATGCGCACGTAGGCTAGTTCTCGAGTGAAAAGAAGGAGCTTTTATAGAACAAGTGAACTCCAGATGTTTTTGTTGATTTTCGGCGGCCATATTGGTGCACCAAAACTGTGCACCAATATGGCGTCTCCATACAAAGCTCTACAAAGATGCGTGAAACGTTTCGGCAAATAACTCAGAAACTGGGGGCCAAAAAGACCTGAGTCTCGGACAAATTGTTTAAATATTAGTCTTTTATAACATATCATTTTTTTTGGCTTCTTTCACTGGACGGTTTTCAATTTATTTTTTTGTTGCGTGACAGTGAAAACGATCTATTCTGTCATTTGATTATCCCGATTATTATCATCAAATTTTCTTATTCCATTGAAAATCTCACCGCGTGTAAATACAGTAGAATAATAAATTCGGTACATCAATTTTCGTAACTGTCTCCGTGGTTTATAGATCTTTATAGGAATAAAAAAAAATCACTTTGAGGCACAGAGATGAATGGTACATTCCTCTGATTAATTCTCCTAAGCCACGGAGCGAAAATCATGCGTGAAAATTGGCCTTGAAGTTGGATTGACTCTTCAGTGTTACATCAGATAGAGCGATTATCAATCAAGTCAATGTGTTTTGCTTTATCTAGGAAGTCCTTGCTTGTACTGTGGTGGTTTTTACTGGCGCTGTACTGAGTACATTTGCGCCAAATTATTTCTGGATCATGGTGTTTAGTACAGTGGTTGGCTTGGGGATGGGAGGAGTAGCTCAATGGTGAGATAACACTACTGAGGAAGTGACTGACTGACTGACTGACGGTCCGACTGACGGAATAACTGACTGACTGATTGACTGACTGACGGACTAACTGACTGACTGATTGACTTATTGACTCACTGACTGATTGACTGAAGCGACTGACTGACTGATTCACTGGCTGATTGTCTGCTTGACTCACTGTCTGACTAATTGACTGACTGAAAGAATGGCTGAGGGCTGCCTGCCTGCATAAATACAGGCTGGCTAGTTTACTGGCTAACTGACAGTCTGGCTGGCTGACTAGCCTACTGGCTAACTAACTAAATGAATGAACTGAAATGTATAATTGACTAACTGAACGACCGACGGACTGAATGAACGACCGACAGGCGGGCAACAGACTAACTCGAAAGACTCGTTCATTAGGTTATTTATTCATTTTATCCAAGAAAAAAAAAACATTTTTCTGGTTATTCATTCATCCGAAATAAAACAATTAAAAGAAGCACAGGATATACACAGCGTCTCATCTCAGTGATTTGGTTCAGTGCAAAAGAGTGCACAGATATCTGATGTTAAAAATTGAAGCGCCTGACTACTAACAGCAGTCCCCTACCTTGTTAAATGTACCTTTCAGTATGAATCTATGGGCTGAATTTCTACCAAGCAGACGACGAGGAGTTATGCTTAACGCCCTTTCGGTAAGTTTAGTAATACCAAGTACAACTGGGATAGATTACATATGGTGCATATACAGATTGAGTCAAATCAGTATTGGTATTTTTACCTTACCATCCTTGCCGATCTCGGCCTGCCGAACAATCTGTGTTCATATGTTCACATGAATTTTTTAGCCCGATTAGCCGAGATTGCTTGACAATTCGTTGGTGAGCTCACTATCAAAATATAATCAAAACGATTGAAGTTTTTTTAAAAACAAAGAAATTTTGCTTACTAATAACACTGGTAAGATTTTATACTCCGAACGAAGAGAGAATGAACTGACTTCAGAGATCACTTGCATAAATCTTTACGTCAGAAGTAAGCGCCCCCCATTCCCAAGATATGACGTCATTTGGTTGAAAACTAACTGGACATTGTTAGCATTCTGTATTATTCTTTGCAGTTATCTTGGTCACTTGGGTCTTGTATAGAGATTTCCATTGCACTTGTGGTGATGCCTACATTGGGTTGGAGATGGTTGTTTTTTATTTCCGCCATTCCTTTACTTCTTTTCCTTTGTTGTAGTAAGGTGAGAAGTGCAAAATATTACTTAAATTGAACACACTATTCAGCTAGAGTACAATGCGCCTGTGAAAGGAGATCGGTTACTTACAGCGCTTGCTCTCGATCTCCTCCGCCCCCATCGCACATGAGTTAAAGGATATCAGGCCCTGTTTTTCAAAATCAGGATAGCACTACCCACCGAATAAATCACTCTAGTGGAAAAGTATCAAGAAAACCAGTTGCAACGGCTATCCAGTGGATAGGGATCGATTTGGTGGACGGAGTTACCCACCCTTTGAACAACTGGGGCCTGGTCGATACATCTAGCCAGTATAGAAGCAACCAGTAAAAATTTCAAATTTAAACTTTCTTGTGCTCGACCTAGTAGGACACAATGTATGGCCAGGGCGCCGTTATCCTAACATTTAAACAGCAAAAGCGTGTTCGTTCTGATATTGCTTCAGTACGAATTTTGGTCAAAAGTCATCTAGACTAAACTCACTTGAATTTATTCATTTCATTGTCCATTTTGTTTGCTCACTTTTACAGCTTGTTCCAGAGTCACCTCGTTTTCTCATGACTGTAGGTAAGCCAGAGAAAGCTCTGCGTATTTTGCAAAGAATAGCGAAAGAGAACAAACAAGAACTTCCTCCAGGAGAACTGGTGGCCACTGAAAAACACGAGGTATTTCTGACTTATCATACTCATATTCTTTGCTTTGGGATGCACTGTCTCTAAGTGGAAGTACATGGCTACAGACTGCTCATCGCTGTATATTCATTAAATCCGGCTTCCTAGATTGTATCACATGTTTATCGCAAGCTCGGTCAATGAACACAAGGTATGAAGTATCGGACAAGCCACCGGCTTCTCTCAATTTTCTTTCCCCCTTTGTAATCACCGGCTCTGTCGCAACTCGAAGACATGAGATACTATCACGGACTTCATTCGTCATCGTCATTCTCATCTTCATCATTATCATTTTCTCATCATCGACTCGTTGTTGTTTTACTTTCTGGGGTCATCGATTCGACTTTTTCAGTCGTTCTTTTCATTTAATCGAGCACGACAACAAATCAGGTCCGGTGGTCCCATTAAGATTCCAAAACTTTCGTGTTCGATTAAATGAAATCTCCGAGTTAATATTCTCCGACTGAAAAAATCGGACCCGATTACTCTGAACCGGCTGATTGGACATCGTCATCAAATTTTTGGTGCTTTTAAGAAACGAAATTTGGACATCGTTATCAAATTTTTGACACTACTGAAAAATACAAGAAACCATCATTAACTTCTCAATCCTGCCTGCTCTTTGGTGTTTTTTTCTTCCGTCTACATGTCCGTTCTGCTCTTTACAATAACTCTGATTTGTAGATTATCAAATTATACCAAAGACAATTAGGTTTAAAAGATACATAGTATTCAAATACGCTGCTTTCAAGTGTTTATCTAGGTTCTTTTTCATTCATTTGTGACGATGATAATTTTGACGTTTTGATCTATCAGATTGTCGGCGTGACTTTATCAGCAGAAAAGAAAAACAGGCCAGTTGTTAGCTCGGTCGTGTTCAGTTACCTTCTTTTAGTAAACTAACTTTAAAAAAAACTAGGACTTAATAAGTATTTCTAAAAATAACGTTGATCATTTGTACCATACATTGTTAGGTTCAACTAGGAAGGATAGCAGATCTATTTTCTCCAGAATTCCGAAGAACTACTATTTTGCTATGGATCATTTGGTGAGCCCTTAGTTTACAACGATTGTTAAGCATGATATGATACCCGAAAAAGATAGCAATTAAAGAATAGCTAATCAGAGTCATGACTGTCCTCTACGCAGGTTCAGTAGTCATTTTGTAATCTATGGAATAGCGCTTATAACTACAGAGATGTTTTCAAGAGTTGATCCTTGTAGAGGTAAGTATCCACGATTCGCAACATGATGTGCGATTGTTAGTAGCTTCTTATGGTCTCCAGCCGCCATGGACGTGAAATCCCCAAAATGTGGGGGGAAACTGCCGTGATGATACCGGATTTCTTTGATTCCAGACAATTATACAACTTAGGACGAGCAATAGATGCAAATATCTTTCAACCATTCCCTCACTTTAATTAAAGAGCGCTGTTTAATTCAACAACAGTGATTTTCAGATAAAATTTAACGTCAAAAATCGTCAAATATTATTCTTTGCCGAAAATTGGGGCTAAGTTTTCACTCATTCGAGATGTCCAAGGGCAATAAATCGACAACTGAACACGATCTTCCTACTTATGTTCTTTTTCTGGAGCACAGTCTCTCGTGAATGGGTCCTCATGAGGGGCGCATCCAAAAAAAGTGAGAAAGAGGCCGGGGCCGGTAGCAGACTTGTCAACATTATAAATAATGCCTACTAACTGGTTAAAGAACTCTGACAGCTTTAGTGAACAAAAATTAAGACTCTAAAAGACAGATCAGTTTGGGGAGATTTCTTTAAAATTAGATCATAATTTGGGACCGCGTTCCCCGCCCTTGACTCATAGAAAACTAGCCCATGCCTATTCTTTACAGCTTTTATGCATTTATGACATTACGAATTTCAAGCAAAGTTGCAACATCAGTAAATTTGACAGATCGACGCCTCTCCGGTTGAGGCCTTCAGCTAAAGCTTGGTTATAATACTGTATTTTTCAGGTATCAATCCTGGTGGGGTCGATACTTCAAGCGATAAAGATGACGTACCACAAGGGTCCAGTCCTTGTAAACAGTTAGATTATGAAGACTATGCGAATTACTTGATTGTTATGTCTGGCGATCTCTTAGGTAACGACTTTTTCTCCACTTATTTTAACAAAATAGCCGTGTGGTTATCATGATAGTCCTGGCTCAGATAAAGAGTTTTCCACAAAGTTATCTACTATCTTATGGTTCCGAATGTTTTCATCTTCGATAACAAGGTCATAGATCCAAAAGTTTTTGGAAGAAAAAAAAAAGAATTAGGTTTTTCACATTTCTATTTCGTTCTATAACTCCGAGGTTTCTATTTCTTTCTTTTTCCTCGTTCCACTCTTAAACTTGTCTCAAAGACAAAAGCATTATGTGCACCCACGGGTGAAACTCAGGCTCGACTGGATCATTTTACGGGTGGTTTTGTTCACGGTTTTTGATTCACGCGTCTCCGCTGGCCACGAGTGGCGCGGACCATGCCGCACTCTGATCCCCCAGACATAGACCAAATCAGGCTCTCCTCGACTGATATTAAAACCCATGAGTGACTGAGTGCTCAGATGCCAATCGCGCACTCTCACTAGAGATACAGTACTCATTCTGTCTCATGGGCTTAATCTCGGCTTAAATTGATGTATTTTATAGTTATTCTAATTAGACTGATTATATTTTTTTCCTTCAGGATTAGTGTTTATATTTTTCATGGTGGACAAAATAGGTAGAAAAATGGTTCAACTTGTAGCCTTCGTAGGGAGTGCCGTTTTCCTAACAGCCTTGTTTATTTGCACCAGAAGGTGAGTCGATTTTAGCTCTGTTTTATTGTGGGTTTCCTTGCTCGCCATGAACCAGGAAGAACAACGAGGAATATTCAAGATAAAAAAATGCAACAGACTTCTTCTGTTTTTATATGATGAAAGGAGAACACGTCAGAGTTGTGAAAATGATCAAGAAGAGAAAGCAATTTATGACATGTTTGCAATAAGCCTGGAACTATCTCACAGTTGAATTCAAAACTGTTTCACTGAACCCGAAGTGGTGGCGAGAATTTTTACAGTGCATTAGGCATTCATTCGAGTATTCATCATGGGGAATTACCCTTATCCGATTTGTAAAACTCTTTCATGTAATATGCACCAAGTCTTTTCTTGCGTTCTTATATGATCATATGACCAAGAAGAAGTCGCGTTAAAAAAAAACGCTTAAAAGGAAGAGGCCAATATCCCGCCATCCGGGAACAAACAAGATTAACAACAAATGATTCATTATATGCCCAAAAAGACTACATTTTCTTGCGGGACCAACGCGACCAATCAAAACATAGAATTCACTTCCATTTATCTACTAAATTAGACTCAAACAAAAGGCTGGATTATTAACCAAAGTAGCTCAGTGCCATTCCCTGAAGCAGCAGAGGCATACTGAGGATGCATCGATATGCCTCCTCTCAATGCACCCTCGATTTAGTCAGGACTGCGAACAGTCTCTCTTTTACGCTGCTCGAAAATCTGTGAGAGCACGTGATATGCGAGTGTGCAAGCTGCGAAGACGCGAGCAGTGAGTTGTGCGGACCCCAGTAAGAGATTGTACAGTTGCAGAAAAGATTCACTGACCAACTGACAGTACCTAAAATTAATTTCTTTACATTTTCTCGTCAGCCGTTTATCGACCACCATGTTTTTATATGGAGCGCGTCTCTTCATAAGCATAGCTGATATGTGCGGCTATGTATACACCCCGGAGGTGTATCCCACGAGCATGCGCGGGATCGGCTTGGGAGCATGCTCCGGTGCAGCGAGGATAGGATGTATGATAACCCCTTTTGTTGCCATGGTGAGTAGAACAATTAGATAATAAAATTTTCTGCTCATGGAAAAAAGGAAACGTCATTTCGTAAAAGTAGTACTGATGAAAAACATGGTATATTATGAGTAACATTGTGTTTCATCATGACTCGCTCAGGAGACCATAAAATTTAAGTATTCCACTTCCAATTTTCTCCTTTTTCTTGTCTTTTCTCGCCAAGTATGTTATCTGTCGTGAACAGTGCTTTTAAAAATCACCATTTTTTTTATCACGTTGTTTTCACAGGTTCTCATGCCACAGTCAGTCCTGTTATCACTTAGTTTGTACAGCGGTTTTTCCATTCTGGGCATAGTCACTGTCTTTCTACTCCCCATTGAAACTAAAGGACGAGCATTACAAGTAAGAAAGATTATAACTGATCACTATGTATGGCATGTTCTAACTACTAGACAACAAAAATGTGCAAGGTTGCGCTCAAAGCACCTAGGGGTACTTGGTTATCCGGAAATAAATGGAAGCATTTTTATATATCCCTACTTGTACCTGGTACAGCAGTGGGACCCAGGCTACATTTTAGTAACGGTATTGAAAATGCACATGATAGTCAATCCAGTCGTGAAAATGCGACTCCACCCCACGGCACAGCTCCATTAGCCTATTACCAGGAAGTAGCCTCCGCGAGAAACCGAAGACTGTGTCGACTTCGTCTCCCACTACGTAGAGTTCTATCAATCTTCACCCAGAATTGAGGAAGACACAACAGTCCCTCTATGTAAGAGAATCGGAGACAGTCTTGGATTCTGTATCCCACGCCGTAGATTCCGGATTCCAATCACCAGGTTCCAGGTTCTTGTCACTGGAACTTGGATTCCGGATTCCAGTCGTTACTGGGATTCCGGATTCTTTGAGCTGTATTGCGGATTCCGAAGCCCAGGGTTCCGGATTTCAAAAGCACAAACTTTTGGATTCCGGGTTCCAGAAGCAAAAATTTCCGGAATCCACATTCCCTTACATGGTGCAAAAATAGGTTAAGTTGACAAGACATGCTGCTTAACCTTACTGCTCAATGACGACATCACCTGCTGCAAACCTGATAAGGGTCCCAGACTAGCGCTATGATCAGACTATACCAGAGAGCTTTTGCGCCAGCACTGCCGAGTTCAGACATAAAAAAGATGATTTCGGCGCGATTTCTGAAACGAAGAGAATCTGCGCCACGCCGATCTCTTTAGTGGAGAGTTACATACCGGATGTGTTTTCTTGCCGGCGCGAAACGTTATCCAGAGTGTAAACATATCCTAAGGCAGCATGATAATTCATTTTCATTACGACCATGGCCGGGAATCTTTTTGCTTGAATATCTCTCCGAGTAAGTTGGTATAAGGTTATTTAGGAAAATAATTATAATGAATGTGAGGGTGCATTCTAAATTTTTCTGCCTCTTATTTCCATTGCAGGATTACTGAAAAAGCTCTGTTCTTACAAAATAAAGTAGTATGCCTCCAGCGTGAAGTCACGAAAGCCGACTCCTCTTCTTCCACTCTTCCATTAGAAACCGAGCGATTATCTATTGCAGCTGAGACACAATGGGCTCATTTTTTGGCGACATTCTTCAAACAACAAAAAACGAAGCAATTTTGCACTATTTCTTTTTTTTCTTCCTGAATGTAAACGTATCAACTTAAACTGAACGTGCAAATGACAGAATAAAAAGCTTCGACTTTTATCGATGAGTATTATTTTTCTATAGCTCTGAGGAGGTATAAGATTAAACAATTTAAGAACTTCTCGTTTTCAAGACCTAGATTTCATACACTACAGTCTCCGTTCTCTTTCAGTCCAGCAGACGTAGTATTACTCAGTTTCTACTGGACCTGGGACGAATGTTATGAGATAGAAGGCACTGAAGTAAGGGAAGCCCGGAACTAACATCGCAGAGCAATCCCATTATCTCCTTCAAACCCCTTTTAAAAGGCCTTATGATTTTTCCCAGGCAGTTACAACTTTTACTCGCCGATAGCTTGAGAATGGAAGTGACTTTGTTGTTATTCAAGCATCAAATTTCTTCTCTATGACTCCATCTTCCTGTCCAAAAAATTTATTCCATTTTTGCCGCCAACATTCGACACTCACACTTCCTGGGCTTTCAATTTTCTTCCTTTACCCATGAAAGTGTGTCGAGCCTTAAGCTACTCCCAAATATGACCATTTATCTGTTTATTTGAATTGGATTGTTTTCTATATTTCAAAACCTTCCGGTAGTTAATGCAGGAAACTGCATTTATCTGGTAAATGGAGGAGTAGATTTCACTAATTACGCCTAATTTCCGCAATCTTCGTTTCCATCTTTTTCAGGTGAAAAAGATAGTGTACAATTAGGGAAGTTTTAAAAAGTATATTTATTCAAAGTGTGCTGAAACAAATCAAAGCAATCAGATCTTCCTCGGTACCTTGGCACTCCGTGTTTATTTGTGGATCGTTGTGAGATGGCTAACAAAATCCGTGGTGTGCGCTAAAAAGGCCAGGTTGTTGGTTCGTCTTAAATAAAAATATCTTTTTTTTCTTTTTTGTTGCAATTAAAAAGAGTCTGTAAAGATAACTCGCCAGTTACGTAACAGTTGTTTGCATTTTGTATTACAAATATTACACAGTTCTTATATTTACTTTTGCTCCGGCAGAAAACTTCTCTCTTAATACAATTTAATTCGTTAATTAATTTTGTATCAGTGAAGTTATTCGGTTTCACTTGTAACTTCAATTTCAATTTCCAGTTGTGGAAATGGAAAAGAAAATTACACATAATTGACTGATCTACATTTATGTACTCTATAACATCAAAAAGGGCAACAAGATATCCCTTTTGCTATGGCTTTAAGGTCTCAGTTGTATTTGTGGTTGTATTCAGGTTTAGTTCATAAAGCTGTCATTGGTTGCATTATCAAGCGACTCAAAAAAAAATATTGTCGCCGGATGTAACACAACCCCGCCTATGACGTTTTAGCTACTACTCCATGGTGCTTTCTAAATAGCTGAACTATAAGATACGGTCGTGGAAGCTAAGGCTATTACACTACAATAGACTTATTTGACAAACATCATGCATCCTGCATGCGCATATATCTTCTTACACATATATAATTCCCAACACTTGTAGTATTATATTTCGCCTCAAGAACATAATGATTCATTTTAAAATACTCCTCCATTAGCACTTGTCTCAGAACAATACTGCTTCCCAGATCTAGCAGCTTATTCTTTAACGTTGTCGTAAGCCTAAAGATCAGTCATGAAACTTTTGATTTTCGTGTTCTTGATTCCGTTCATCTCCTGCCGAAGGCTCGCAGATGGTGAGTACTTTTTATGAGAGAATTCTCTCTACATTATTGGTTTGTTTTGTGCTTTTCAGTTAAATTTGGAATAGCGGGTGACTTCATTGCCTCTTGTTTTCGATCCTAAACTTGACATGGCATAACGAAATTTAGCTGGTGAATTAACGATATTGCACCAATGGCAGTAGGCACATGCGACGTAAAGTGGTGTGTAGTAGCTGTTTTGCCAGTAACAAGTTACGATTCTGAATCTGATTCGGAAACCAACTCTAGATAACAGGCGTTTTTACTGGTAGCCCGAGAAACTAGCATGCAATTTAGTCAGTGATACAGTCACACACTGTACAGGTTTTAAATTGCGTACCAAGGAGTTGTTTAAGATTAGAACCCCCATGGAGTAAACATTTCTAATGTAGATTGGCCCAGTTCTTATTAAACCACATAACCCTGATGCAGAGATGACAGCGGTCTGGGTTTTGCATACTGGAACTTTCTTTGGGGTTAACACTTTACCCCCATTTTCTCACTATTTGTGTTCATTGAGTCAATATATGATAGCTTGTTATCCAGGTATTTGAGTTTCTCTTTATGACCTCTATCCTTCATATATTTCACATTTTAGAGCCAGTCGAGCCCATTGAACCGACAGAGGCGCCTACTACTGAGGAACCTGTCCCTGAAGGTAAATCATCAAAATGAGGGTCTCTTATTTTTACCTTCAACCGTCAAAAATGCAGATTAATATTAGTTTCAAAACTTTCAAGGTGTTTTGTGGTAACGTTGCTAGCTAGGATTTCCTCTTGGATGTTTGGGACGCTTACATCATGGACCCTATTACAAGACCAGGAAAGAGCACCCCTTATTTCCCAACCTCGTTCCCAGGGTTCTCTCCTACCCGCCCTACGCTCACTCCGTAGCGCAGGTAGGAGAGAACCCTGGGAACGAGGTTGTTTATTTCCGTGCATCAACAAAGGAGACTTTTGTCTGATTGGCTGTTAGATTTTGTAGTGTTCAGTCTCCTCACCGTGCGCAAGTGAGTAAACAAAGATGGCTGCCAAAGCCATCCTCCTTCGATCGTTCGTTCAAGATGGCATGGAAAGGTTTACAAAGTGTGATGTCTTTCTTTTAGCCTATAGCACATATAGGGGTCGTTGACAAGATTTTTTGTATATGCGCACATTGCTGAGTGCGTCGCAAAAAGGACTCAACTAAAGCAAAGTACACCGGCTGGGATGGGAAATTTTCAATTTACAAAATGCTACAATTGAGTCTTTTTTGGAGGAGGAAACGTATTTTCAACTTCACTGAAACGTCCTGCCGACCCGAGGAAAACGGAGAAAGGTAAGTTTATTGTTTAAGTGGTATGTTTTATCACGCAAACTGTGTACAACGTCTTGATTTTCAATTATTTAAATGTTGTTGAGTTTTATATAAGCTTAAGCTTAGTTTTTCTGTTTCTTGCCAGGTTGTGAATTTCTGACTGTACTGCCTCTTAATGACGGAGTGATGCATGTAGCGACTCAGAGACTTCCTTATTTTTTAATTTTTTTTTCAAAACATTCCTCACCGTGACACCTTCTATTAAAATAAGTTACATGTTTACTACAAAACTAGGGAAGAATTGGAGTCAGTAAACGTCTGGGTGCTTTCCTAACGGATGCGGTTCACTGTAATAAATTTATAATAAATGCTCAAGGGAGGACCCACCATATACATGTACTTGACTTACGGTAATCACTTTTTTGCTGGTTATTTAATACATGTGAATGTAGTCCATAGTATAAGCAAACACTACATCTGCATCCACAACTAAAGGGAACGCAATAATAGCCTATTTCACAGTTACAGTCGAGGCTGGAGTTCACCTCGTTTTGATACAACCCCTCCTTCTTTATTATGTAGATCATGTTGTTCTTATGCAAATATTTTTTTTTTCAACAAAATTTTACATTTATAAAAAAAGGAAGGAAGTTTAATCGTATCAACCTCAGCCTCACATTCGCTCAAAGACTATGACACAGCGT